AAAAATGAGTTGCATAATATCTAAACAACATGAATTGTTAAAGACTTAAAGTATCTGCGGCGTTGACTTGAGTTTGTGAGGTTATTTTAGCTACTGATCTTGTTCATAGTCAACAACAATAATAATCCAATTTGTGAAAAGTGTTGTACTTGGTTGAGCTTTTGTACAATAAATGACTAGTTGTGATTGACGCAGGGGTCAGCTACATCTGCTGTTATATTGAAGTTTGAGCTTTTGTATTCTCCAATCATTGAGGATATACCAGTGACACATTCAGATGCTTGTCCTGCGGCAGTGCATGAATTTCGTATTCCTCCTAAAGCTCTTTCAGGCGTGCATTCTTACTGTCCAGTGCACTTTGATACCTTTCACGCGGTTCTTATCGATGTAAGTGTCCACGTCAGCGTCATGAAATCCGCTGCTTACAAACGGCCTGCAATTTTATCAAGGTATGCATAATTGACCATTTTTGAATTCCAATTTTTTACTGAGTTTTCTACATCTCTTCAGTTAATATATCAACCAACATGTTTGGTGCAGTGATGCGAGTAATGGTAAAAATTTGGCCAGCGGCAATGTTCAGTCTTCCAAAAAAGTATGTGTTCTTACACCTTCCTTTCAGCATTGCATACTCGTCTCTGATTCAGCAAATTTATTTTTTGCTTTTATGCTCATTCAGAGTCTCTGCAGATGATCTTATCATTGTCGTCTTTAAACAATCGTTCTTTTCTTAGGAAGGTGTAATTTATGCTAGAGTTCTTATTCTACTTTAGAATCTCTACCTTCTGGATGCTTAAGCTGTTGCTGAGCTATCATACATCAGTATTTTGATACTTGCTTTTATGAGTCATATAGAACCCACCAGAATCTTCAGTCTTGTTGGCATTGTTTGTATAAAGCTGCAAATAGCATGGTTTCACAGAACTTACTAAGCTCTCTGTTTTGTAGTAAATTATTCCCATTTTTTAAAATCAGATTCTAACAACATTGGCTAGTAAGGCCCCTCTGTCTCGAGATTTTTACAATACTATTATTGATTGATTGTTTTGTAACTCACTAGGCCTTTACTCAAATCGCTTCTGCTGACAAGAAGCTGGTGTCATTTGTGAAAGCCTTACTCGGAGCTCGTGACACTTTGCTTGAAGAAATGCAAAGGCTTAGCAAGGCAGTTGGTCAAACAATTGACTTGTCTGAGTTTGTATCCAGTATGGACAATGCTCTTTTATCTGACTCAGCTTCAACGGGGAAATCTGTTGAAGTTGAAGGTTCAGGACAAGGCAAGCAACAAAACAATCTTGAGGTCCTTGCTTTATTGTACTGCAGAGTATTCTATATCTATTACCGTGTTTTGATATCTTCTGGAATATAAGCTCTTCTCTCCATTTTTGACACAGAAGTTGAATGGCCCATTTGATTTAGCAAGTGATGACTGGCTTCACAACTTCTCAAAAGAGCATCTATCTCGCACATTCCACTTACTGGGCACCCAGCTCCATTATCTTTGGAATACCTTTCTGACATTTCATCGGTAATTTTCCTTGGACATCCATAGTCAAATAAGCCTATAGGTTTATTTTGTTTGCGAAGTTATCTTCTGATCATTGATCTTATTTGTCCCATTTTCAGGGATAATTACACAAAAATCTTGGAATATCTTCGCGATATCTGGACTAAAGATCGAAGAGCGGAATGGTCAATATGGATGGTGTACTCCAAGGTTGAAATGCCACATCATTTTATAAGTGGAATGGACGACATTTCAAACCATAGTTCACACAAAAGAGTCTCAAGTGTGTTGAAGCCGAATGATGTGAGTTATATAGTTAGTGATTATTTTTCAAATTTATCAGAATGCCAGCTAGGCTCTACTCATTCAATTTTTGCTCTTATGCAGCCTGCACAAGTTGCAGCCACCCGCGCTGAACTTCACCGTCGAAGTATTGCACAAATGAGGGTCTGTTATATTAGTTTCGTGATTCAGTTACCTGTTGGTTTCGTTAGTTGTAAAATTTGATTAATTATAACTAAATTGCAGATAAACAACCGGGCAATACAAGACATGCATATATTTGGTGATCCAATGCGGGTTCCTATAGTTATAATTGAACGTGTTTGGAATGCACCAAGGCGTACGTTCAGTGATAATTCGTACATGAGACATGTTGATAGAATCGATTCTAGCTTACTTAATGGGCATGATGATGAGAGTGGGACGAAAAAACATAACAACCCACAGCATACTGGGCGTGAGCTGAAGATCGTTGTTTTTGTTCATGGTTTCCAGGCAAGTATCTTCTAGATGAGTGAATCCCTTTCTCTTTCTTAAGCTTATGGAATAATATACCTTTTGTCTATAAATCATTGTGTTTACTGGCACAGTGTCCATACTCCATATATGTTAGAGCTGCTTCTTTTTTTTGTTTCTGTTCTACTTTTGCAGTTACAGTTTGCTTTTGTATCATGATAGATTTTTGTTCGTTACATGATAGATTTTTGTTAACTGCTATAGGGGCATCACTTAGACCTAAGGCTTATCCGGAATCAGTGGCTCCTAATTGATCCAAAGATAGAGTTTCTCATGTCTGAGGCAAATGAGGAGAAAACACATGGCGATTTTAGGGAAATGGGTCAGAGGCTTGCGCAGGAAGTTGTTTCTTTTTTCAAGAGGAAAAAGGATAAACATGCGAGATATGGGCGCTTGAAAAACATTAAGCTGAGTTTTGTTGGACATTCAATCGGTAACGTCATCATCAGAGCTGCAATAGCTGGTATGTTCTTAGAATCTCTCAGACAATGTTTAAAACGGTTCTTAGATCGGTTTTGGTGTTTATCATTATTGCCGACATGTATTTGTTGCAGATAGTTTGATGGATCCATACAGGAAGTATTTTCATACATATCTATCGCTTTCGGGTCCACACTTGGGTTATCTATACAGTTCAAATTCCTTGTTTAATTCTGGACTTTGGCTCCTGAAGAAGTTAAAGAGTACTCAGGTTATTCATCAGCTTACGCTCACAGATGATCCTGATCTCCAGAATACTTTCTTTTACAAGCTCTGCAAGGTAGAGAAAGTTCTTAACATTTCATCAAGATATTGTACAAACAGACCTTTGCTCTTTGGTTCTAATGTTTGTTTTGAAATTCTTTCCAGCAAAAGACGTTGGGCAGTTTCAAGAATATAATTCTCCTGTCTTCGCCTCAGGTACATTCCATTACACTTATGCGAATACAATAGTAATTAATGCGAGCAACCTCTGGTTCTAAGCCTTCAAAATGGACTTCTCAGTTTTGACATTTACATACTGTATATCAAAACAATCACTTTTATAGATTTAACAAAATTGTAGAGACAAGGATATTTTGATCACCAAATACAAGATTTGATGCTAGCTGCAAAAATGTTGATGCACAAGCGCTAATTCTTTTGTATTTTGTAATTAGAGCCATGTCTTTTGCTATTGCAGGATGGTTATGTTCCATATCACTCAGCTAGGATTGAGTCATGCCAACCAGCTTCTTTTGACAACTCAAAAAGAGGCGTTGCTTTCTTGGAGATGCTTAATAACTGTATGGACCAAATACGTGGGCCATCCCCTGAAACTCCTCACCACCAGAGAGTGTTCATGCGCTGCGATGTCAACTTCGACACAACCTTGTATGGTCGTAACCTGAACTCATTCATCGGCCGTGCTGCTCACATCGAGTTCTTGGAGTCTGATATCTTTGCAAGATTCATAATGTGGTCATTCCAAGATCTATTCCGCTGATGAATCTTGGTTTATGGAGAAATTTTTGAGATAGAGAAGGATACAAAAAAAACTGTTGTATATTAAGTAGGACAATTCTTTTGTTAGTTTGTGTACTCGCAATCGGAAGAAGTTACTAATTGTATGTTACCTCAACTCTGGTCCCTGTATGGTTTTGAGCTTCTAAGCCTCTCTATGGATCATTAAGCTGTGGCGTATTAGATTCGTTTAGTCCGGCCTGTTGTTGTTAGTGATTCGGGTCTGGTTCTTTGGCCAATCCACGGTTAATTGTCCAAAATACATCAGGATCAACCGGTTCGATCTGGTTCCTAGCGAATTTTTTAGTCTTACAAAATCAAGTTCAACCACTAACAAGACTAGGCAATTTAGTGGGTTTTTTGGTCCGCCACACATTAATGCATGTTTTTTTTAATGTTTTAACTACAATGAATTGGATCATGTGATAAACAATGTTATTACTTAAAAGCTTGTGATGAGTGTGATTAATCATTGGCAGTTAATGCGTTCTTTGGATTGAATTGCTAACCAAGGGAAGAAAAAGATACTAATTTGTTAAAGTTGTAAGATTAGTATAGTGGCAATGTGTTAGGTACCGAATAAACAATGGTGCATAATCAATTTTTATCCATTTTTGATTTTAGCTCTGTAACTAATGCAATTGTACAAACTGAATCAATTATGGAAATTTTGCAAATTGCACATGTGAACGCTTCTTTTAGATGACGTTAACGAGATTAATTTACTATCCGCTAATGAGTTTTGCTCTATCTAATCAAAAACTAAAATGTAAAATATCTCTAATCCTACGCTTTTAAAGTCATCATTATAAGAGATTAAGAATTGCCGACCACTTTCAGAAAGATAATACAAGTTTATCGTTCGAAACAATGCAGAGAAGCATTATTGTCTGCTTGTGAAGAATGAAGAAATATACAATTTCCCCTTCTTCTTCTTTTATTATGTTGTTGGTCAAAGTGGGCAACTACAAAAGTTTTTGAGCATACGTAGATTTGACTAACTTTTTAGAAATCACACGAGAGGATATTACAATAATAATTGGTCTATGTCATCACACCAAGAATCCAATTTGCATTTGGTTTCCTTTTGAGAATTTTCTGAATCAAATAATATAATAAAATCAACCTGAATCAAATATGCATGTTGACGAAAAATAAATATAAGCTGTGATTGAAAACTGATTGTTCTTAAGTAAAGCATCTAAGGACCATAAATTTAACAGAGTTGTTGACCTTCTTCATTAACTAATTTGAAAACCTTAAAATTCTACAATTACAAGAAAATAGTTTACATGAGATCATTACAATACCTATGATTTCATAACCAGAAGTAGTACTAGAATCACATTCTCCATCTAAACTCTTACGTCTTAATAGATTTAGATGATCCACATTAGTCTCTCTCTAAGTTTCTTAGTTACCAAAATAGACCCCAAAAGAGTGACTTTGGTCCCTCAATCATCAACTTATTTCTTTGATCTTCACATCACTCTCTTTGCTGATCACAATCCCCATCAATCTGCATGGTTCCGCGTCCTCGATCATTTGAACCACGCTCCTCATCGTCGGTCTTAGTCCAGGAAGTCTCGCCGTGCAGAGGATTGCAATCCTCAGTATCTTGATTGCATCTTCTCTATACATTTCTCCTATCTTCTTGTCCACAATCTCCATCACACTCTCTTTGCTCTTCAGATTGTTGCTCACCCAATTCACTATGTCTTTGCTCTCTCCAAACTCTGCCTCTATCGGTTTTTTCCCTGTGACCAGCTCCATCAACACGACCCCGAAGCTATATACATCGCATTTCTCAGTCACTTTTGACGCATATCCATACTCTGCAACAAGATTTTTAAATGTTAAAATGTAATTCAAAATGTAAGACCATAAAAAGTTGATGATATAAGAATTTAGTCTCTTCATATACCTGGAGCTATGTAGCCATAGGTTCCCGCAACGACATGGGTGGAATCTGGACCGCCATTGCTGGCCTGAAGAATCTTGGCAAGACCAAAATCCGCAATCCTAGGTTTCAAGTACTCATCTAGCAATATGTTGCTTGATTTAACATCACGGTGAATTACCGGTCTCTCATACCCATGATGCAAGTACTCAAGCCCTTTCGCTGCACCAAGAGCTATATCATACCGTGTTTCCCAACCGAGATTCGATTTCTTGCAAGAGTGAAGCATGTCCCATAAGCTTCCATTAGGCAAGTACTCGTACACCAGCAAGCTTGAGTCATCGCTCGTGATGCTACAATAGAGTTTTACCACATTTAAGTGTCGTATTGAGCTAAGCGTTTGCACCTCTGTTTCAAACTCCTTCGATCTTCCTTCCCGTTCAGTGAGAATCGGCATTGCACTGCTGAAATTTTTCTGAGTACTACTACACCGGATGTGTTTGACCGCAACTTCTTTACCATCACCAAGTACTACTCTGTACACATCGCCACAACCTCCTCTACCGATCAAATTCTCTTCTTTGATTGAATCGATGATATCATCTTCAGTGAAACTCATCTTTCGGAATGACTTTATACTCCAAGACTCGTGTTTAAGCGAACGGCCTTCCTTCTTCTCTGTTTTCTTCAGGTACAAGAAAAACACAAGAGACGCAAGCAAGATCAGTGACCCGAAAACTATACACAGCACGAATACGCGAGTGTCTCCATGCGATCTCGAAGGATTTATGCACCGGTTAAACGATTTGATCGTCATGCTACAGAGTCCAGGATTGCCATTGAAGCTACCATTATATGATGACAAACTCAGAGGGATACGACCGGATAATCTGTTGTTAGACAGATCAAGAAGGCTAAGCCTTAGAGACGACAAACTCTCTGGGATTCTCCCGGTGAGCTTATTGTCTGAAAGATTCAAAGCGTTGAGCGTCGGAAGAGATCCAAGCGTGTGCGGGATTTCACCGGATAGCGAGTTTTGAGCCATGTTTACATCGCTGAGCATCGAGCATGATCCAATCGAGTCCGGTATCTCACCAGAGAAGTCATTGCTCTGCATCTTCAGACTGCTAAGTCCCTTCAGTTTCCCAATGGAGCTCGGAATCTTCCCGGTAAACCGGTTATTGTTAAGCTCAACCTTAGTCAAAGATTTAGTGTCACCTATCTCCTCCGGCAGCTCATCAGACAACTTGTTGAACCCTAGATACAATGCTCCGAGCATTTTACCGTTCTTTATATCGGCAGTGATCGGACCTTCGAAGTTATTCATCTCTATATCGATGATCTCGAGCTTCGGTAAGCCCCAAAGTCCCGCGGGAACAGTTCCGTTAAGCGAGTTCTCGCTTACTCTGAACCGTTCCAGAGTCAAACAGCTAGCGTACGAGTCAGGGATGGAGCCAGTGAGATTGTTTTGCAGGAGAAGCAGAGCTTTCATCTTCCCGTTCTTGCACATATCTGGAGGGATAGGTCCGGTTAAGAGATTCTCTGATGCGTCGATGAAATCAAAATCGGCAAGTGAACCGAGTCCTTGAGGCAGAGAACCGGTTAACTTGTTGGTATACAGAGAGAGATTCACGAGATCCTTGAATTCGCCAAACTCCATCGGAATCTCACCGGAGAATTCGTTTTCGAACATTTGTAGTGAAACGAGATTAGTCAGAGACCTGAGCTCCGATAAATCGCCTTGTAGAAGATTTGTTGAAGCATCCAAGTAAGTCAGATTCTTCAGGTTTCCGAATCCGGTAGGAAGTTTTCCGGTCAAGGAGTTGTTGTAAAGCTCTAACTGCCAAAGATTGGTGAGTTTCGAGATCTCCGACGGAATCTCTCCGGTTAAACTGCTATCGGCAATCTCCAAATTCCGAAGCTCCGTCAAATTTCGTTTTTTGTAAACTATATTTTTTTCAACAAAATAATAAAAACAGTTATATCATTATTTATCAATTATATTTAATGAAATAATTTGTAAATTTTAAATAATCAAATAAAATAATTATTGATTATATTATATTATTTAGAACAAAACAATGTTATATGGGTCTAAATAGGTTTAAATGGGTAAAGGAAATTTAAATGTGTTTAAATGGGAAGGATAAATGGGGTATAAACTTAAATGAGGTTAAATAGGGTGGATCTAAATGGGGTGGGTTTTAAATGGGGTCGATTTAAATAGGGTGAATTAGCCCATATTAACATCTCTACTTAAAGGAGTAGGTTAAATCAAAGATACAGGTTTCTTATTAGTTATTAGGTTAAATTATTTTAAACTTTGATAAGAGTAAAATCAATTAAAGTGAGAAGATCCTGCGACCACTCTCGCAGACCACTAAGTTTCCCTATCTTATTATATAAAGTATGGTTTTCAAAGTTAAAAAAAAAAAAAATAAATAAATAAAGTATGGTTTTCAAAGTTAATAACTCATAGGATCGTGACACGTGGCAAATCTATCGATCTTAGATTTTGACATGTGTAAATCAAAAATTTCATTTATATTTAAAAATATATATTTTAATTAAACAAGAAAAAAATCAGGCAAGTTTATTAAAAAGGAAACATACGTTATTATATAACTAATATGATATATTTTGGTTTCTCAAAATTAGTAATTAATAGTATCATGAACCTATGAGTCAAAATTAGTAATTAATAGTATCAGTCAAATTTTTTATCATGTGTCATGATTTAATTTACAATTTTCTATTATTTATCTCAATTTCCTTTCCAATTAGAAATATGTGAAGAATTATTTAAAATAGTCCTCATATTATTTATTTGAGTTGATTTTTTCAATTAAAATATGAGAGATTAATTTTTTTTCCTTTTTGTAATATTTTTTACTTAACTGTGTTTTTTGTTTGTCTTCAATTATGATTGTAGTATTGTGAGATTGTCATGATTTAAATTACAGTTTTACATTATTTATAGAAATTTATTTTCTAAATAGAAATATGTGAAGACTTTAAGTAAAGTTTTATATTGTTTATTTGAAATTCTTGAATATGTAAGAACCATATATGCTTCTTCTTTGTTTTTGATATTTTGAATTTAATTATACTACTTCAAAATTATTTATTTAAATTTCTATGTTCATATTTAAATTATATATAAGATTCATATATCATCGTGCTTCTAATTTTTTGAATTTATCAATTTTTATTAATTGATCATAAAGTCATTAAAATCAAGTATACCGGAATCGATCCCGCAACGTTAGCTTGGAAGGCTATGGGATTTAGTCGATTTATCATCTTTATATTTTTAACGTGTTTAATTCAAAACCATTTGGTTTCATTCACCAACTTTATGATGAATATTTTTAATTCTTCATATAAGTATGTTGTGAGTTATTGTTATGTGATATATCTTTCATTCAAAATAATTTTGAATTAATAATTTTAGTGGTTAAAGAAACAATGCAACAGTGAAAAAAGTAAATATTTTTTTACTTTTGAAAGAAAAATTTCACTTACAACGTTGTTAATTAGTTTTTTTGTTAAATTTAATTTTCATTTTTAAAAAATTAAACCCGTCCGATGGACGGGTCATTATCTAGTATATGTATATGCTGAAGATGTACAAGTTTTAGTCGAGAAGTCCTCTCTCTCTCTCTCCCATGCATATATAGAAAAGCATGAAAAGCATGTACGTATTAGCTCCATATATGCATGTTTGGTAAAAATCTATCACTTCTTTCTTTGCCAAACAGATTACATTTAGGGGGTGTTATTGGTTTGGGATTTAGAAAGACTTTTAGTGACTTGATAATAAAGGATTTTAAAAGATTGTTAAAAAGTTTTATATTATCTTGATGATTTATTTTCCAAAATCTTGTAAAGTCTTTAAAACTTTTTTCCATAATCTTGTATACTCTTGATAACTTTTCCAAACTTTTCCTACAAAATATTTCCAAAATCTTGTCCAATTTTTATTAACGTCTAGTGACCATCTTCTATCTTCTATATAACATGTTCTGTGTAGGCCTGGTTTTCTTCTATATACTAGGTTGTTTATCAGAGTTACAGAGGTACGCTTCTTCTATCATAATACTCGCTTATGAATTTCGTGTGTCGATCGTTAGATTCTTGTATGTTCATATAATATTTACTTGTTTTCATTGTGTTTGGATCTTTTGATTCTCTAGCACCAAAATTGCTGGAGAACAGGAGAAGCAGCGACGGAGACGATTCCGGTGTCAAAGATTGCTGACACATACAAAGTCATGGACTCTATTCACAATCTCTCTATTTTATGGAGGAGTTTTCATGACTTTTTTTATGAAGAAAATTATATAAAATCCTAAACCAATAACATAATATTTTAATTTATCAACAATCCAAGATTCTTTTGTTTTAATTGAATAACACAAAACTTTTAATGACTCTATAAAACTCTTAATCCAATAACACTAGATTTATAAAGATTTTAGATTACTTTTTATAAATCTCAAACCAATAACACCAAATTGTAATAGAGTTTTTAAAAATCTTGATTGAATAACAACATATTCTACATAACTTTTAAACTCATTAAAAGTCTTTCTAAATCCCAAACCAATAACACCCCCTTAAAATTTAGATTGAAAGATTACATTTAAAATCTAGCTTTTCTGAGTACTTGCTTGCATCCAAAACACATAAGTTGTCTCATACATGAAAAATATATCACTTCAAAACCCCCAAGTCTTTTACGATATGTTAAGAAAGTCTATCACTTCTTTGTCAACCAGATTACATTTAAGATCTGATCACTTCAGCAGCTTCAAGAGCTTTTCTGAGTACCTTCTTGCATCCAAAACCCCTAACTTGGCTTAGTGACGGGCAACCAACGAGTATCTTGCATACATCTTCTCCAGTGATTTTCTGACACCAAGATAGGTCAAGATACCATAAACTCTTGCAACACTCAGATAAAGTCGTGGCAGTTTGTTGAGCAACCTGCAGGCAGTGAAGAGATCCAAAACCAAATTCAAAATGTGACATTACTTGTAGTAAAGCAAGCAAGAAGCCAATGAAGAGAACGAGGCATGCTTAAGGTACTAACCTCCCTGATTTTATGAAGGCACAACTGTTGCAGAGAAGGTCCTGGCCCTTCTTCAAGAAAAGTAGCTATAGCCTGATCACTGCCAGGTATAATACCAAGTTAAATGAATGCATGAATCAACTTTGTGATGTAATAAAAGTTAGAGACACATGGGATGGGCAAACCTGAAACTGTTACTCCCAAATTTGAGAACGCACAGCGAACTGCAGACAGACATATATTTCAGGGCCATGTCGGTCAACTTAACCACGCCCCAAACATCAAGTGCACCTAGATTTGCACAATATTTTCCAATTGCTTGGATGGAGACGTCACTTACATCCCTATATACCACAAAGGAAATAGAAAGCGTGCTCAGCTATTTAAACGAATTCCTAATTTCTTTGTAAACACAAAAAAAAAGTCAGAAAATCCAGTCTACATGGAGGAAATTTGGAGAAAAACAGACTGAAATTGCTTAAACCAATGGGGAACAAAGATACCAAAACGAATTCCCTCTTTGTAAACACAAAAGCTAAGTCCTAAAATCCAGTCTATATGCAGGAAATTTGGAGAAAAACAGACTGAAATTGCTTAAACCACTGAAACCAATGGAAAACAAAGATCTTGGACAAGATACCAAAACGAATTCCCTCTTTGTAAACACAAAAACAAAGTCAGAAAATCCAGTTTCTATGCAGGAAATTTGGAGAAAAACATATTGAAATTGCTTAAACCAATGAAACCAATGGGGAACAAAGATCTTAGACAATATATGCAAGAAACTGGGGAAAATAGTTTCTAGCGTGACTATATAAAGATAGTAGACTTACTCGCATCTGGCAAGAGAAAGACCAGTCAACTTAGAACCGCAGACTTCAAGAAACTTGACAACGAAACCATCATCAACACCTTCAACTCCTGCGATTGAAAAATATTCGAGGGACTTGAAGTTTTTTACGACCTCTGAAACTTGAGATAGGTCGATTTGACAGCCTTCAATGTCAAGACCTCTCAGAGTGGCTCCAAAGTTGTTGACCAGAATCACCATCGCAAAGGATGTGAGCATAGAGCACTCTGAGAGGTCAATTAACTCAAGTGAAGGAGCAGCCTTTGAGATCGAGTCCAGCGCATTATCAGTCAGACGGAATGCACCCCTCAGAGATAACGATGACAACACTGGAAATCTGTTTGATGAGATGGACAACAAGCTATCTGTATGGGCTTGTGCACAGAAGTAGAGTATTAAGACCTGGGATTAAAAAACAAAAACAGTTAAATACCAGAAAAAATCTCTTTGACGTTCAGGACAAAAGAAACAAATGAGGAAGAAAGATCTTAGATAAGTTAACTCAAACCAGACAAAAACTAAGTCAGAAAATCCAATCTATATGCAGGAAATTGGAGAAAAACGGACTGAACTTAGTTGACAAAGAAACCAATGGGGAAAAGATCTTAGAGAAGCTACTAAAACGTTCTCTCTAAAAGACAAAAATTGAGTCAGACTATCAAGTCTATATGCAGGAAATTGGATAAAAACAAACTGAACTTACGAAAACATTGGTTTATTTGTCCAAAAGAAACAAATGTGGGGAACAAAGTTCTTACACAACAACAACCAAGTAAAATCGAGTCTATATGCAGGAAACTTGGAGAAAAACAAACTGAACTTACTTGCAACTTATCTCCGTTACAGGCAGAGAGAATATCTTTCACATCATTCTCTTCCAAACTTGAGCAGTCCTTGACAATAACCTCAGCTGGCGAATCTTGAACCAAAAGCTTCACGAAATTGGCATCGATCTTACTCAAACGAGGCACCATAGACGCTATCCTGCTTTTCAAATCATCTGGTACAAGTTGCAGAGAAGATAACGCATGTGAGTTTTCCGCAACTCCTCGCAGACACAGATCTAAGAGCTTCGGTCGCACCGGCGGGCGATTTCTCCTGATTTGACCCCATGTGTCAAGAAAGAAGCTACCACCATCCTCTGTTTCTGCAACAGCCAACGCATCTTCATCAATCGATTCCTCAGAATCCACAAAAAATCGGGGCGTTCTTGCATCTGCTCTCCAATCACGAAGTACCATCTCCGACGAATCACGCGCCAACACTGCTCCAGTTTTCTCTGATAAACTAAAACCCTAGTTCTCATGATACTAACAAACGAACGAATATGGATTATTGGGTTGGGCCCATTTGGTTGGCCCATCACAGTTTAGTGATTAATATTTCTAAGATAATATATATTCCTATTATAATTGGTGTCATTGAATAAATTAGTTCAATAAATTTGTTTTAAGCGAGATTTCAAGTGTCTCGAATACTTTTAATAGTACCGATCATAATTTTCCAAAGCCAATTTCTGATATGTATCAACATATCCTAGGCAGGGCGGCTTATGTATAGGGGTCGGTATTCCGATCGAATGGTACAGGGAGACCGTGACGATTTTGTCCAAGTTGGTAAAAATAATCGCCGATCCGATTGGTTGATTTTTAAGTTGTGTTCTTATTTCACTGAGGATGACTAACTTTTATTTCTTTTCTGAGAAAAAAAAAAATTAAAAGAAGACGAGTTTGAATGACCAAACTAAATTTGCTCATGTACTGTGATTGATGTAGTAATCCTAGGCTTTCGGAAATGACCGAGAAAATACTGCTAGTTATACCTTTAATTCAACAACAATTCTACAAAATCGACACAAATTATACAAAAACAATTCCAATATGCAATCAAATTCTACACAATCTACATATACATTTTTACAGGGGATTTTTGCATAAACTCTTTTGGATCCGGGTTTGACCCGGTTTTAGTCTGTTCGGATCTTGGATAAGCAATTTTAGGGATGTTGTCTTAATTACAAACTGATAAATGAAGCCATGTTGTCTTTAATTCATCTACTTATTCCGTTTAATGTTTCTTTAATTACAAAGAAGTTACCTATTTTAATGGTAAATAATCTTTCATATTAATGACTCTAATAAATAGCCAATTTTAATGGAAAATCGTTTTTCATATTTATGCTCATAATAAATGTCCAGATTTTAACAATAAATATATTATGAAATTATAAAGAAAAATGTATTTATTTTTTAACAATATATATATATATATATATTATGTTAATAAATTTGTGTAAATACTCCAATAATAAGCTACATCATTTTTCTTTTACAATAACAGATTAAATATAGGCAATTCCCCATTTAAATTGCAATAAATTTAAAATCAAAATAACAATTAATATATACATCCATAAGGAAATCATAATAAAATATGTTTATTTGAAGATTATATATCCTAATCTTCACATAATCCATAATTATGTTTTTGATATATTTGAATATCTAATATTAAATTTCTAAAGGATTCTCAAAATATTTTTTATAATAAATATTGTTTTTACGAATAATATTTTGTTTTGTTATAAAAAGTAATATTTGTTATTTTTCTAAATTATTTTTGTAATTAAATTACATAAATATTAATAATAATTTGTCTACACCATCAAATGAAAATAGTTAGTTATATAATCTTTTATTTAATATTACTATATATATATATTTTGGTAATATTTTATGATGTGGGTGAACAAATTATTTTCGTATTTATGTAAACAAAACAATAAAATCTAAATTAGTTTAAAATTTGAGATACTATAATCCCAAAAATAAAACTAATTGGAAACTAATCGCAACAATCATTCTACATAAATGACATATTCTTTACAACATTACTAAATCGCATTTACTGCATTATTCGTTTCCAATTATGATTACAAATCTTTGATTAATTTAATGGTATTAAACTCATATCTACATATTCATTTTTACAGGTTTTATTTGCTTTTAATCATTTGGATCCGGGTTTTACCCGGTTTAAACCTATTCGGATCTAGAATAAGAGATTTAAGGAATATTGTAATAAAAACGACATTTAAGACTAAATTAAACATACAATTCGTTTTAATCTTATTTCCTTAACTACTTCCCACATTAATTGGTTCTATTCCTTTTTATCAATAGTAGCATTAAAGATTTTCCGTTTACGAATCTTGCAAAAATCTCTGCTTAGTCCACGATTAGTTTCTAAAATAAAATCTCCGAGATATTTGATAGCATTTAATTAATACCAAATTATCATTTAATTCTACATATCTCTAACCAAAAAAACGTCATTAATATAGATAATTACACATATATTTATGTTTCCTTATTCCTTAACTTCTTCCCATATTAATAGGCTATATTACTCTTTATCTTGAGATGATTTTCGAATATTTATGCCATCTTAACTAATTACATCCACATACCATATATCATCTATATTCTCTTTATATTATGCAATAAAATATTTTTAAAACATAATTATGGCTAATTAAATTCTTTCCATTATATGGTTCCCTTCTCTAATTGAATCCATAATTCCCGCCCAAGAAAATCTCAACGATGATACCATAATTATATACTCTTCGATATTTTTCTTAACATTTGATTTTAAGAAACAAAGTTATGACTATAATTATTTTTTTAATTCGGTTTAATGTGATTTCCTAAACTAATTACCACATTAATCGGCTCTATTCCTTTTAAATGGTTGCTTAGCTTTTTTTTAAGATTCTCTGCAAAACCAAATCATTTACAATCTTTTTCAAATAAATTTTGTTATATAACGATTTCCTAATCTTTCCTTAAACATATCCTAAACTTTCGTTGTATATAATATCTTTGATTTTCTACTTTCTCTCCAAGATATTATCAAACTACCTTAACAATAAACCTAGATGCCTACCTACCCTATAAATACCACAGTTTTACTCGATTAGAAGACTCATCAAACAAATACCTCTTCTTACCCATTCCAATCTTTATTTGTTATATGAACTTTCATTTTTCTGATTCATGAATTTACTAAACATTTGATGTCTTGCGCAGATAATCTTATACAAGATGAGCAACCCATTGATGATTGCCATTATCAAGAGCATATGCTTTAAATTTACGTCAGATTCTTTCATATGGTTAGTTTTTTTTATTCACCCTATTTTTTCTAGGTAAATCTTCATGTTTAATGATAATCTTAATATATATATATATATAAAAGATAACTACACTTTGATAGCATTGATTTTTAAAAAACTTAAACGAAAAAATAAAAAACGAAAATACAAACTATAACCCAAATGTTTTGAATTCCACTCATGCTTACAAATGAGATCAACAATTTCATACATCCAAATTGTAAGACATATATAATTGATTGTAAATTTTATTACTGTAATAATTCTTATTAAAGTATACTTATTAAACTCATAAACTCTAATTTCTATAGTATATAGTATAAATGTGGATCCAAATATTTAAAATTTATTAAAAAAATAAATATTATAATTATTTAAACTTTTAAAAAAGTCTAACTTTATTAAACGTTTTAATTATTTATAATATTATAACTTTTATGAAGTTTCAAATATTATAAATATTTGAATTTTATAAGAATTTATAAGTAGTTTAAACATTATAAATATTTATAAAAGATATTAATACGAGACGGTATACTACGGGTGAAATCCTAGATATAACAATCAAAATACAATTATGAAGTTTGGGTCGTATTAAAACTTTTATGAAGTTTCAAATATTAGAAATATTTGAACTTTATAAAAAAAATTACAAAAATGATGTTTAATTTCACGGGATGGGGTTATATAGTGGGACGGATTTAGATCGATATTAATACGGGATGGTATATTACGGGTGAAATCCTAGAATTAGCGATCAAAATACAATTATACAATCTTAAACACTAAATAAAACAAATACAACTTAAATTTTGATTTTTTAGTTATAAAATATTGACATGCGGTATACCATATATCTATAGATCATTCTAAAAAAAATCATTTTTTTATTTAGGGAAAATATAGACCCGCGTACATACAAAAATTTGTACATAGTTGAATATCTAGTTATACATACAAAAATTTGGAAGTGTGCGTAGATATACCCAAGTTGTACATAGTTGAATTTTTGTTTTATGCAGGAGAAAACGAAAATTTGTGATTCAACAGAAAAAAAAAAAAGAAGATTTTAAATAGATTTGATCCGATAACAACGAATTCGGATATGGATGACCCAATTGCCATACTTGGACTGGTAAATAACTGAATATATAATATAAGGGGTTATTGTCTCTTTTACTCTCTTTGGATTAAAGAAAATGAAAATAAAATTGTTTTTTTTTAAAACAAGAGCATTCGAGATTTGTTTTTGTCCAAGGAGAGCACCCAAGAATTTGATCGTCCCCTTTCGATATCTGATGAAAGCTTTTGTGACATTTTCAAGACAAATAAGCATCGAGATTGAGCTACAAAGACTCGTGTAACACTTGATAACAAAGGTTTATCGGTCAACTTCTTCATTAATCAACTTATTAAGCTATGTCGGCAAAGGAAAAATGTCAAACAGAGGTTCTGAGACATGGTTTGACAACAATTTATGGAGACTGCAGTCTTCTGGCTAATTAACGTAAAAGTGTAAGAAGATATTGCATTTTGAACTCTCAAGAGAACCTTCAGACATTCACCAAATGATGTGAGGGTCTCTCTTGAGCAATTGTGCTCATTACACACTTCACTTTCTCTGTTCCAAGCTTCTCCTCAAGCATTCTCCACAATTCTGGCATTTTCTGCTCATAAACGAATGCATACCAGAAAATCAATGAATCATCAGAGAAAACGTCAAGTCCACCATATTTCCATCATTCTGCTATTTTCTGCACACGTGTGATTGACAATATTGGCAATTTTTTTGATGACTTTATTTGGACAAGATCACTGTTACCTTTGTCAGCCATAGCATGTAGACACCAGTATGCAATGCTTGAGCTTGGAAATCTTCAAATTTGGTATCCGGAACAGTCATAGCAGATTCTAGGAGACGGATCTCATTATTAATGAAGATGGCAATTTCTTCATTCATAATGATACTCTCTCCGGGTTCAGGTGAAACATCTGAATCATTGCAAGTGAAATACATTATCCAATTAAGAGAGAGGAACCGCCGGTGAAGCCATAGGGCCTGAAAGAAAATTTGTAACAACTCAAATAAGTCACTAATTCGATCATCTCCATAGTAGCACGACAAGTCGACAACAAACTGTTTACAAACTATCTTTGTCGTCCAAAAAACTCTGAGAGAAATTATGTACTTGGGGTGCGTCTACAAAATCCAACTTGGTGGTTTCTTTAATAACAGATCCCTATGATAGGTGCTAGATCTTCATACCGTGCCCATCTCTACACTAATTAATCAAACGGTGATACCATGCACGATAGTTCATCTTTGATCTCTGCAAAAGGCATGAATTTTGATTAGGAGCTAGTTTCTTTTAGGAACAAAGTAAGTGGTCTTGTCATATAAGTAGGAATGGTCAGAGTGATCGACCATTTAATATATACATGATAGCCAAATTGTGAAGATTAGGAGAAACCAATATTTGTTTCATCAGATATATGATGAACTTTCATTAATGTAAGCATCAAATCTGGAACTAAACCTCGCCTATTGATTCCACTAACTCAGATTCTTTGGTTATAATCACTTGTAGTGTAGGAAATCCCAGGGAAATCATCTTAATTATCCACCTTCTGTTAAAATGAAAACCAAATATTACGAGGAAAGTAAATGGACAAGAACAAGTAGGAACTATTCAGGCTGTAACAGAAATTAAAATGCACTTAAGATCAGAAAGTGTGCTTGCATTACTAAAGGATAACAATGATGGGAAACAATGATTCTAATGAATACAATGAATCATAAAGACTGACCTATGGCTCCATGTTGACTCACTCTTAGGAGAATTTGAAAGAATGAGCCCAGAAAGACGAAGTTCTTGCGTGAATGCCGAAAGTTGATCCTTTTTTGACAAAATCAACTTCCTATCTCCAGGACACACATACAAGATGAGGTTAAACACTAGGAAACATATTAGAACAATTATTACTTATATGAGTACCTAGCATTCCATGCAGTTCCAAAGTCTGAGCTTAACAGCAAAACAGCTTGGCTATGCTTCATGACTTCACTCTCGGGAGTACTGGGGGAACAAGAGATATTTCCATGGCGTTTGTACTCATCAAGCGCAAGCAGAAACGCATGTTTGGCATATTTACATAATTGAACAAGAATATCAGTTGATATTCCCAATTTGTGATCTTGATTCCAGAACTTTCTTGAGGTTCCATTGTTAGGCTGGAGTTCATTTTGATACACATTGGAGAAACCTGCTTCTTCATCCAGCAGGTTGAACTGTGAGGGGTGAATAAACCCTACTTCATCACTGAATTCAGAGTGACAAAACAAAGTAAGAGGAAGCATTAACTTAGGAGTGAGGATAATGGTAAGAGAAGAGGAAGAAACCAAATTCAATTCAAAGCTCAAACCAATTAATAAGAACATGAGACTCACATAAGAGGGTCAGATTCAAGAACATGCTCGAACTGCTTCAACAAGATAAAGCAATCTTCTTCAGAACATGGTCCTTGTCTCATTATTCCTCGAGCCTCCCTTCACCAATTCTTCTCTTTCTTTCGCTTATAATTTCTCACTATCTTCGATTTCTACATCTGAAATTTGCCTTGAAGGGTTTCTGCAGACGGAATCGGAATTCGATTGATCCTTGGCTGACGGAAGATTTCCTAGAAATTAGGGATTTCGCCGGAGAAAGTGGTTAAGGCCGGAGAGATTTGAGTTGTTCTCCGATCTCGCGGGTGAAAACATGACAAAAACGAAATAAGAGTTTTATTTACCTTTTTACTCAATTTTTTTTTTTAAAATTTCCTTATAAGATTTTCCTTTTTAATGCGAAAAAAATCACTAATGCTAAAAAAAGTAAAAAAAAAAAACTGGCCTACTTGTGATAAATGTGTCTATAAATAAATACGTAACGCAACCGATGCATACAAAATCGATTAGAGCGACGTCAACAGATGGTGATGAACTGATGATACTCGGAATTGGTCGGAACTTGTCACAGACATATGGTCACTGGTTTTCAAGCACTTGAGCTTTACAGATTTTGGTCGAGCTAAGACCGTTTGTTTGTCGTGGTACTTTGGCAGGGTAAAATTCAAATCATATTTCTATTTTGTCAACATTTCATATGACAGTTAATTTGATGAATGAGGTGGTTTTTTACAGGGTCGATGACTATTGACTACTGTTCTTCTATGAAGAAGCTCACAAAAGAGGAGATGGGTTTTTTGCTTTCAGACTGAAAATCAAAATATAGGAAAAGGGTATTAGGGAATTTCTTTTAAATACAGATTTTTTGGCAGGTTTAATGACACATTAAACTCTTATATATAAAAAAAAAAAAAATCGATTAGAGCATAAGAAAATAATAATAAGCTACGAGGGAATTTTTTTTTTTAATACTACCAATATTGCAACTTGTAAAAGAAAAAAAAGTCGTATTAAATCCAGCTTACATTAAATCCAAAATAAAAAGAAATGATAAAGCAAGCATATATAGCAGAACAAAAGGACACAATGGCACAAAAGGGAAATAACCGATGACTTGGGCTTCGATCTTCTTAAACAATTCTAGACCCAGTAAAAGCCCAACCCGAGATCGTAAGGAAGTAGCCAAATTCAATCTGCAGATCATGCTCGAAATGATTCAAGCAGCCAAAGCAATCGTCCTCAGAACATGGTCCTTCTCCCACTATCCCTCCTCGGGCCTCTTCAATAACTAAATCTTCCCCGCACTTTCGATATCGGATGAAAGCATTTGTGACATTTTGTCAAAACAAATAAAGCATCGAGAGTCAGACGATACTGTCATCTTCCGTGCAGTACAAACCGCAGACATCCCAAAATACCCAATAAGAAAAATCAAATCAGACGAAAAATGTGAGTACCTTTGCTCAAGTCGGCGCAAGCTATTCGATCCCCGTCAACATTGCTTCTCCTTTTGCTTATGATTTCTCACTATCTTTGAAATCTGAATCTGCCTTGCGAAATTTGTGCTTGCAGGATTTCTGGAGACGGAATTGGAATTCAATTGATCCTTGGTTGGATTTCCTAAAATTTAGGACGGTAAATTTCCTTTCTTACAAGAAAGAAATATCAAAATTCTTTTTTTTTTTTCCGGAAAACCCTAGTTTGTGATTGTGTGTATAAATTCAACCTCAACCGATGCATACGAAATCAATTACAGCGATGGCAACAGATGGTGATACTCCGAATTGGTCGGAACTTGTCACAGACATCTGGTCATTGGTTTTCAAGCACTTGAGCTTTACAGATTTTGCTCGAGCTAAGACCGTTTGTTCGTCGTGGTACTTTGCTTCCAAATCATCCTCACCTAGAAAAAACCATACTCCGTGGCTGATTCTCTACGAAGACACGCACTGGCTCATGTTTAATTCGGAAGAAGAAAAGTTTTACAGAACACAAAACCTAGGTCGCTTTGCCGAGTGTCGTGGCGTGGCGAGTTGTGGGAGTTGGGTCTTGGTCTTTGACAAGGAAATAAATTTCTACATCATTAATCCCTTCACGCCAGAGCTCATTCGTCTCCCACCTCTTGAATATTCAAACAGCGGCACAAAGTTCGAGAGACCCGGTAACTATATTTTCCACCTACTCTTCGACGATTTCAGAATAAACAGTGTAGTAGTGGGGAATTCGGTTCTGTGGGTAGACGAAAAAACCAAAGACTACTTAGTTGTGTGGTCGTACAAAGAGGCATGTCATCCGGGTGCCTACATATATTATTGCAGGAAAAGAGAGCAAGAGTGGTTTGAGATTCCGGCAAGCACTTGTGGGAAGCTATTCGGGTGTTTGGATATGGCCTACAAAGACGAGAAGCTTTACATACATACTTACAATGGTAGCATCAGAATCTTGGACTTTTCTCTTGGAGACTTGCCTAGACAAATCGACAATCATCCATACTCCCATCGACCGTTTGTTACCGAGTTTCCTAATCGTAGGAGGGGAATGAGACTAACCACGTCTGGAGATGTTGTGATGATCCAATGGGTGACAGTCACTCACAAAAGAATCCCGTTCCAAATCTACAAGATGAGTAGCAAAAGAGAGACGAAGGAGTCGTTTCGGGTGCAAGGGTTGGGCGACGACGACGATGCTGCGGACTGGGAGAGAGTGCATTCTTTCGAGGACGAGGAGTCGTTGGTTTGGGATTTGAGCGTCACTTTGCCAACCAAAGGCGTATCCGGTATCAAGAAAGATTCCATATATTACTGTCACACTTCTAATTCATCTATTCGGGAAGTTGCTACCTATGAATTTCCTACGCACAAGATCTCTGCGTATGAGATTCCTAAGCAGGCTATCAAACCTATTCGACACCGCGGCATCTTGATTGGAGAGGCTCGTTGGTTTGTTCCTTGTTTTGGTGCAGGTGAATAATCCCGCACTAGATTACTCTCTCTCCCCCAGTCCCCCTCTCTCTCTCTCTCTCTTAGGTTCGTGTTTACAATTTTGTGCATCTTTAAGTAGAACAGAGTATTTATAATAAGAAGAAGGCTTCACCAATTAACCATGTTTTTTTAAATGTTCTATGTCTCGACAGGAGTTAGAAGATCGGGTCACTATACTGTCTTCATATGGTAAAGACCATTAACGAGCCACCGATGTGGAGATTCAAATCTTGATATGAGCGATGCAGGGTTTTATTTAGCCACATTTTACTTTATTTTCTTAGTTTTGGAATCCTCTATGGCTTTACTTTGGCCATATTTGTAGACTTTGACAAAACAATGTTTTTCTGATTTCCATATTTAATAAATGCATTCTTTGTTGAGAAAAAAGAAAACGCAAAACAACAACTTAGAAACCAAATCCTTCTGCTTTTGACAAAAAATAATATGGAAGAACACATATGATACTTAGAACCAAAGCCATTTTCTATACAAGCTCCCTGTGAATTCCAGAGTGCATCAGTTATGATTTTGGAAGATGATAGTTTTGCTTCAATAGTTGCGGTAAGTTTCTTTGTTGATGCAACCTCCTAAACTTTTTCTCGTCTTGACAGGTTGTTGCAGAAGGAAGGGCTATATATAACAGCACAGAAGCAATTCATATATTGGGGAAGTGGTCTGTATATTTGTTGCAGCTGTACTGGGAATCCCTGATAACTTTTTTAGCCTGGAAGTATCTTTTTCTTTTCTTTTCGACTTAGGTCTTCAATTCAATCGCATCAATTTTGTGATAGTATTATCTGCAGAGTTTACTTTTATAAAGCTTGTCCGAAATTTATAACTGTTATGGTGATCAAGTGTAGGTTCAACTTCTGTGGGTCAATTTGGTAACCGATGAATTGCGTACCATTGCCATTGGTTTTAATAGATAAGATTCCGATGTTAGGAAGGCAAAAACCCCGAAAAGTAGCAGCTGTAACTGTATTAACTCCTTGTGGATTTTAGTTCATGGAGAGATGTAACTTGATATATGTTTGCTGTCGCACGATATAGCATCAGTTTGAATTCACGCACAGAGCTCGTAATACTATACTGATTTGATTACAAACATTATGGTTCTAATGATGATGGTACTTGTCATTAAACTTGAAGAAGGGGTTTTGAACTTCTCAATAACTATCTCCCTGTAATGTGCCAATTTATTTTCAAACTACTTAGACATTTTATCTTCATTATTGCTTTGATTGTTGTTGAATTCCAGGTTGGTGAAGCAATGGTCACTGGGTGGTAATTCTTCCACTATCTGGTTATCAGAGGTAAACAAAAATGGTGGCTTTGTAACTAATTTTAATCATTTATGCTAAACTAATATATTGGAATCTTTGTGGTCAAGTAGTGAAAGTTGAATTTGCGCCAAGCATTTATCCCTGAAGAGGACCTATCTGCTTAATTTGTTTATCTTTCTTTGCAGTTTATGTTGGCGTCTGGCAACTGTGGCTGGCTTTATATGGTTGTTTATTTACTCTGATGGTGGTCCTAGACTTATAGCGAACTGGTTAGGTTTTGATCTCCAGCTGCATTTTACAGATTATTTCATCATTCATGTGTGTCAACCTCAGCATTTTTGAACTTATTCCCCAAGTTGCTGATCATATGTTTCATTGTAGTTATATGAAAATGAATAATCTCATTTCTGATGAACTTAGACAGACAACTTATCCCTGCAACATATTTGAGGATTGGAATCCATCTACCGTGGCGTACCTGTTTTCTTCTTTTCAGTCTCATGTTCACTGCTTTATAGGTCACGCCATTGTCCTGGGTCGAGTGGACTGGCGTTTCTGTATTTTTCGTTTTATGTATTGTTACTTTTAGCAGCTTCTGCATAGTCTACTAGAACCCTCCTTAACCCTCACAGGGGAACCTTTACCTTGCTATAAACCACCTTAGTTCTCGTATGGATGCATATTTGTTAAGGAAAAGCATGAAAATAGGCGGATATTTCACAGGACAGAAAGAAAAGACGGAGATGCAAAAGGAATTACTAGGCGGTACTTTGTTTGTCACCGTGCTGGTAACACACCTATCGATGCGGATGGTAGAGCTTGAGAAGTGTGTCGAGCTAGGCTTTTTACCATTCACTGAAAAGGATGTCAGGAATATGCTTCAGTCCTTCAAGAAACTCGATCCTGAGGATGAGAACATTGATTTCCTGAGGATGTGCCAAAGCATAAAGGAGAAAGACCCTAACTTTAAGTTTGAGTTTACGTTGGATGCAAATGATAAGCTAGAAATTATTGCCTGGTCATATGCATCTTCCATTCAGTCATATGGAATCTTTGGAGATGCTGTAGTTTTCGATACAACACATTGCTTAAGTGCAGTTGAGATGCCGCTTGGAATATGGGTTCGAGTTAATAACTATGGTGTGCATTGCTTCTTCTGTTGTGTACTTCTATGGGATGAAAATTTTAGATCGTGGTCATGGGCACTACAAGTAACAAAATGGCATACTAAGCTGATAAAGTTTCTTTTCCACTTATTTACTTTTTAAATTCTTGGAAATTGTCTGTGAGTAGGACGAATATGTAACTCAAAGAAGCCATCTAAGCATGAACTCTGCATATGGATAGTTGTTGGAAAGTTTCCATCCTGGTTTAATGCTGGTCTTGGGGAGCGGTACAGTGACTGGAGTTGAATTCTATCCGCATCTAACATCTGGAATCCATTGAGGAGTTCGAGTTGGGTTGGAAGAGACATGGTGAACTCCTTTGGACTCCACATAAACAAACTGTATGTCGCACATTCCTTGTGTTCTTTACCATACCTGAGAAACCATTTTTTAGCTGGAATGACTTTGACTGGCCGATCCAAAGCCAATCAACTCCTTGATTCAGAGGTTCTTGAGCGCACAAACCCGGCTACCTCAATTTGTAGAACCAGTATGTTTTCTTCTCCTCCTGACAGTGTTTACTCGTTGCTGGTCTAGATGAAATCTTCTATATTGGAACTGAATATGTTACTCATTGTAAGAAGAATGACTATGGATAATGAAGTGAGCTATTTTGAGCTCTTATATATATTAATGGTTCAACCATTTATTATATAGGGTTTATGCATTTTATCTCATGAAATGTTTTTTTACGTGTATTGAATTTGCTGTTACTTATTTGAGTAACAGGTGGAATCCAGGTGGCTGTTGCTGTGGATTTCAAAGACCAAGCCATAGAACAGCAGACAATACAACATAATCTCCAGAACATCAGCCTAAAACTGGTTTCCCCATGGAATCTCTAGCAGCCTCAGTCCTCACTCCTTCCGCTTTCTCCAATCTCCAAGCACAGCTTGTGCTTGCAGCTCTCTACGCATCTTTCGAGATGGATGACTGGTATCTCGTGAGGCACCACACAAAACTCAGTGGAGGAAGAAAAGTTTATTGGGTTCCTCAAGAAGGCATCATAAGCTGCAATTGCCAACTGTTTGACTTCTCTGGGTTTCTCTGCAGGCACGCACTCCATGTTCTCTCTACCGGAAACTATTTTCCGGTCCCAGACAGATATCTTCCTCTGAGGTGGCGCAGGATCAGTACGTCTTTTGGCAAGACATTCAGAAGTAACGCTGAGGATCATGGAGAAAGAGTCCAGCTTCTGCAAAATCTGGTTTCGACTCTGGTGTCCGAACCGTCTAAATCAAAAGAGAGGCTAGAGATTGCAACTGAGCAAACCTCCATCCTCTTATCCAGCAACAGAGAGCAGCGGCAGCCTATCTCTTCACTTGCTCTCCGAGACATTTCTACTGTGCAGAGGAATTTTTGGAATTGCAATGCGATGCATGTCTGGCGAGAATTGATTAACTGCAACTGTGCAAGTGATATCTTGGAAACAAGGATTTCCCAGAGAGTAGGTGGTTCTTGTGGTCATCAAATGACAGTCTTGTTTCAAGTCAGCTCACTCTAATGTAGGTTGAGTCCAAAATGCTTTGAAAAAGTTATTTTACACGTTAGGAGTCTACTCCTGGTTATGATATTGCTGCTTAAATAGGTTATGTCGCTTTTGGTATCTAGGTGGCTCGTTTGAATGCTATAGTACGGTCATTGCCATCAGTCGAGACGCTTGGTTGCACTTCTGTAATTTGCAGTGACAAGACTGGAACATTGACTACCAATATGATGTCGGTGTTAGCATTTTAACCTCCACTGCTTCGGGCATGTTTGCTCTGATGGGTATCTGCCCCTTGCAATTTACTATTTGAATTGTTTCTAGTAATATCTTGGAAGGTCAAATCTTCCTTCATATTACACATGACCATATATATGTTTGCAGTTTTGCACGTCTGGGGACTAATCAAATAGAGCTTCAGGTAAGAAGGATTAACAACTTTGCTAGTAGATCTTGTGAATAACTAACTGCAGTAGTTACATTCTTGCGTATAAATTTTCTCCTTGTGTTGTTAAAAATGGTAATATTTGAACAGTCTTACTCTTCTGCTTGTATGTCAGATGTGTGTAGTCCAATCTGCAGAGCATGGTCCTGTTAGTAATGAATTCAGTGTTCGTGAGACAACTTATGCACCAGAAGGTACTGTCTTTGACAGCAAATGGGCTGCAGGTAATTATTTCTTCTCCTCTGGACTATGTGAGTAAGCAACTAATTCATACACGACAATTTTGAGGGTGACTGGTAATTGTTTACCGACATTCTCACAAATTGTTACCATGCAACTACACACGGACAGGTTGAACTGAAAATTTCATCTCAGGATTGCTTGATAAAATTGATCTGGATACTTGATGACACAATAGAACCTGAAGGTTAGCGGTTTACATGAAATCTTGGCGTTTCGTTCTTCTTTTATTTTTATGCATTTTCATGTGTTTTGCATTCCTCGTATTTCTTTTGTATTTTTAGATTTCAGGGAGTTCCTTTCATTACAAATCTCGGTGAGTTATTATTGTGAAAGAGAAAAGACCAAAGAATCAATAGCAAGCTTCAATCTACACGCACATGCCAACACACAGCATTCTTTAGACTAGTTGTTCATTTGTTTTGTAGCTTGACTTACCTGCTCATCAGTTAGCAACGTGTTCATCACTCTGCAATGACTCCATCTTGCAATACAATCCAGGTAAGGGTTCTAATGAAAAAATCGTAGGACACAACAGACTGTTTCTCTATTGACTTGAGTGACCATCTACGGGCTCATATTGTTTATCACGATGTTTAGATGCTGTGACCATCCATTTTTTGTCTTCTTACCCATCACAGAGGTTGAACTTACTAAGTCTAGAATATTTGATTGACAGTCAGAGTTGCTTCTGTTGCTTATTTTTTCAGGTTGGATTCCCTGGTTTTGATTCAATGTCTTCTCCTCTAAACATGTTGATCAACAATGAACGTGCATCATATTGAAACCATTATTGGGAAAACCAATTTAAAAAGGTGTGACTCTCGTAAAGTATACTATTTGATATGTTGTTGACCTACATTTTTACATGCCTTTTAACTGGATGAATAATTTAATGGTAGGTGCATCTACAAGAATCCTTCCTTTGTGGTGGAACTCTTTATCACTAGTATTTCTATTTCTTTTGTTGTTAGTTCTACAATCTTAGCTATCTTGTCTTGTTGTATTAAGACCTGGATGTTGTATTGCTCTCGAAGCAACATACTGTGGTTATCTATCCTCCTGTGTAAGTTTATTGGTCTTTGTTCGGCACTCTTTAGAGGAGAGTTTGTATGCTTTTAACTTAATATATTGGAGTGTTTGAAGTTAAAAAAAAAAAAAGTTTATTTCCATAAAAAAATAAAGTCAGACTAGAGGTTACCAAACTCATCACTAACCATGTCAATTAGGGCCAAAGCTCGGTCTAGCCCAAAAATATCATGTTAGAGTATCCCTTGTCAATATTACGAAAGTATGTTTTATGTTTATGAAAATTCCACATCAAATACGGAGATAAATGATAAGAAAAGTACACAGTCCATTCATCGTTGCAAGTTTCATAAGAGGATGCAGCATTCTTCCCGCGCATGCGCGCGGGCAATCACCTAGTTAGTAATGATAATAGATAGGTTTGAAGATGAAACTTGCAACGTTTTTAAAATTTTCATAAGAGGATATTTTAACCACTGATGATAATAAAAAGGTTAAATTAGGCCTGGGCAAATAAACCGAACCGAATGTACCGAACCGAAACCGAAGCAAAAAAAACCAAACCGAACCGAAAATTTGAAAATAACCGAATGGATACTAAATTCTATAACCGAAATAACCGTAGCCGAATCGGTACCGAACCGAAATATTTCGGGTAACCGAAATACCCGAAATAAAATTATATTTTCAAAATAATTAATTATTTATAAACCAAATAATCAAAAATACTTGAAAAATATATAAAAATAGTAAAAATACTCGAAAATAACCGAAAAATATCCAAAAATATCCGAAAATACTAAAAAATAACCGAAAATATTCTAAGCAAAATAACCGAATGGATACTAAATTTTAAAACCGAAAGAACCGGAACCGAACCGAAACCGAACCGAAATTTTAAAATATCCGAATGGATACTAAATTTTGAAACCGAAAGAACCGAAACCGAATGGACCCAACCGATAACCGAACGGTTAACCGTTAATAATGTAAAAACGGGCTTGGTTGGCCCATCACAATAATGAGCTTCTGGCAGAAATATAATTTAAGTATGATTAAAATATTAAAAAATTAATCAAGTCAGTTTTGTTAAAAGAATTTTGAGTTGAAAACAAAATTGTTTGATGTTTTGAAGAAAAGAAAAAAAAAATTGCTCACAACGGTAACTAGAGACAGAATTTAAACAGCTAGTAGCCCTCTGAGATTCTCTCACGCTCTCTCCTCTTTCGAGTCATCTCTCTCGTCTCTTAAAAAAATTTCAATTTTCTGTTTTCATTAGAAACCCCCATAAGCGAAGAAGACGTGAAAAACCCAATGGAGAAGAAAGTTGAAGAAGAACAGAAATCGACCGGCGAGGTAACATCTAAAGCTTTGTCGCGTGATTAAAGATCTTCAGAAATTTTGGGTTTTTGCGACTCTGAATATTTAGGGTTTTTGCCTCTGTCATATAATTGGCTTTTATGATCTTGATGTCATGACCCAATTTGAAATCAAGTTGCAGAATTTTGTCAATTTTAGTTATGACTGCAAATAGGTTTCTTTGATTTGATGTTCTGGGTTTCATATAATGGATTTTATGCGGTGGCTTTGTTTGATGTTGTTGCATCACAATTTTCTTTGGTTTATACATCGAATTCGACGTTGTTAGTTAACGCTGAAGCTTTGTCGCGCGAGAATGATTTTTTAGGGTTTTGTGTTTCTGCGGCTGTCATATAATTTCCTTTGTCGATTTTGATTTCATGACCCAAATTCCAAAGTAAGTTGCAGAATCTGTCTGCGATTGTTTAGGGTTTCCTTTTTCCGCTGTTCTTGTTTCTTGATTTTGGACCCTAATTCTGTGATTTCATACTACCTCTGTTCCAGAGATTGAAATAAGTAGTGATTACAAGTTGAATTCGCCATTGTTAGTCTGTAACTGTTAAGGTGATTGGTTATCTTGGAAATTGCAGGAAAAGTATCTCGAGCCTCTTTCATCTCAAGAGAAATCGCTCGACGACGTCGTCAAAGAAACAGAGTTAGGTTATGGAGGGGGTATCATTGTCGATGAAGCATTTTTGGGCAAGAGCATCGAGTCCGTACTGCTGGCTATCCAGGAACAGCCATTGTCCAAAACGTTGATCATTGCCCCAGTACTCTCTATGTCTCAGTGGGAAGAAGATATTGCCAAACTTTCTAAGGCTAAAGTGTTTGTTTTTGATGACGGATGCAAAGTTGAAGACTTGACAGCTTTCGACTTTGTCATAACTAGTCATGCAACCGTCAAGAGAGGGTACAAAACAGTGTGTTGCCCACACTGCCACAAGCTTCTTAGCTCAGTCAAACCACAGCACTTCTGCGACAAACACAGAGACATAAAGAAAAAGGGGAAAACGATCGGGCCACTCCACTCAACTGAGTGGGAAAGGGTTTTTTTGGACGAGGGCCACCTCTTGGAAGGAGGAGATCAAGCGATTTTCGCCCTGAAGGCAAAGTTTCGATGGATTCTTACTAGTAGACTTTACACTGACCATCTCTATCCTCTGGTTAGTTATTTCCTTGTTGTTTGCTCTTACTACATAAAGACCCACCTCCCTGATTCTACTTTTCTTTTTTTTTCCTCTTTTCTTTTGGCACAGCTTCGATTCTTGCAAACCGACCCGTATTCACTCCACTTCTGCCTAGACTGTAAATGCAACTGTGCGGATTTAGGGTATTACATCTCTTGCTTTCTCTTCCCCTTTTTGATCACTGTTAAATTTCTATTGAGTTCCTTTTTCTTGCAGATTTTGGACAAAATGCCCAACATGTAGGCACAAATCCTCTGATCGCCACTCACATTGGCTGGAAAAATACAAATTCCAGGGCGGCATTGCCACTTGCTTAACAGATCTGTGTCTTCGACCCAGCAAAGGGTCCCTTTCCCTGAAGTCTGCTTTTCCTCCTAGCTATGTAAGTGCCCTTTTCATTCTGTTTTGATATCTACTCTGTGAAATTGATCTTATGTGATGCGTTCCATGCTATGCAAATAGGTTACCGTGAGGCGCGATGACCCAACTAAAGCAGAAAAGAAAATGTATAAACAGCTCAAGTCATTCATTAATAAGGAATTCGCAGCTTACTTTCAGGATGAAAGTTTAATGGAGAATTATGCTCGTATTCACTGTCTCATTAATCGTCTAAAACAGGTATATTAATTTGTACTTTACCAAATCAAAAAGGGACTGGATCGTTAACTAATCACAATATTTGCAGGCTTCGATGCACTTAGATCTTGTTGATCTCTCAGATTTTTGTGGAATATGCGGTAGAGCATCACAAGAAGCGATTGTGAGTTTTCTCTCCACTGTTATTTCAGCTTTTTTTCTTTTGGGCACCAAACTAACCTAATTTCTTTGCAGGTCCTTCCGTGCACTCATATATATTGTAGGGATTGTTTGTTCCGTGTGTACCCGTGTGCCCTTTCAGCATCCGCAGCACGCTCCTGCTGCCCAACATGCGGAGTTACCTTCAAAAGAAATCTTCTTCTTCACGCCAGCTTGAAGGGAAAGAGAAAACCTGACAAGGCAGAAGACACTAACAGCATCATTCTAAGAAGCTCCTGTACAAAAATTGAAGCTTTGGTATCAATTTTCCACTGGAATTCTTTTTTGTCTTTTAGTCTTCTCAATATGTTATCTAATTCATCTATGTATTCATTTTGACAGAGAGAAGAGATAACGTGGATGCTTGGGACCGATGAATCTGCAAAAGCTGTCATTTTCAGCCGTTACAAATCCTTTTTGGAGCTGATAGAGAGGCAACTTACCAAGGTATTCTGGACTTTAACTTTGTGCTTGATAATGAATTGTTGAGGAAGGTGAATAGTTTTTAGTCGCAGAAGAACATTAGGAAAGATCTTAGTTTAGTTTTATGTCTCGTGTTATTCTCTTCTCCTCTTAGTCAGTTCAAATTTTATTGCTAGCTAAAAGTTTTTGGATGCTTAAGGTGTGGCTTGACTTTGAAAATCGGTATATGCTGAATTTGGTCAGGAGGGAGAATAGTTTTTAGTTGCAGAAGAACATTAGGAAAGATCTTAGTTTAGTTTTATGTCTCGTGTTATTCTCTTCTCCTCTTAGTCGGTTCAAATTTTATTGCTAGCTAAAAGTTTTTGGATGCTTAAGGTGTGGCTTGACTTTGAAAATCGGTATATGCTGAATTTGGTCAGGAGGGTGAGTAGTTCATGTGATGATCTCTGTAGGAGGCAGAGTGTGAAAAACTTCATTTGATCTAATCACTTGTTTTGTGTAGAGTGGTCTGCGATGTGTGAAACTTAGCGAATCTGCTGATGGCAAAGCCGCACTACAACGGTTCAAAGAAGATGGTCAGTGCAAGATCTTGCTGACGACATTCGAAATAGTCGGAGATTTGCTCGACCTGAGTGTGGCATCTCATGTTTTTCTGATGGATCCTGGGTGGAACCCAATAACTGATCGCCAGGCCCTCGCTCGAGTTCAGACCGTCAGACAGAGCAAGCCAACGAGGTAGAATTTGGAAGTGTTATGATTTTGCTTCTTTTGACAACTTGAAAAACTGTTCTGATTTTTTTGTGATGCAGGATGGTCAAGTTCATATCAAAAGGAACGATTGAAGAGAAGATCATTGATGTTCTACAAGAAAAACAAAACACTTTGGCAGGGTAAAATTCAAATCAAATTTATATTCTGCCAACAGTTGATATGACAATTAATTTGATGAATGAGATGTTTCTTTTACAGGGTCGATGACTACTGTTCTTCTATTGAGAAGCTCACCGAAGAAGAGATGGGATTTTTGTTTTCAGACTGAAAATATAGGAAAAGGGTATAGGAGAATTCTTTTGAATACAGATTTTTTGGCAAGTTTAATGACACATTAAACTCTTATAGGAAAAAAACTATCGAACTATTCAGCTTGAGTGTAGGAATGTTTCTGTTTCTTGATTGCAGAAGCTAAAATGAGAAAATGGCAGAGGTTTAGTACTTATTCATAACTTGCAAACTATGTTTTCAATGCGAAGTTATGGGGGATTTTGAGCTCTTACATCTTTGGCGAGAATCCTGTCTATATCAATGTTGATATCTGGATTCACCGTCGCAAGTTTCATAGACAAAAACTGAAGAAAATAAAAGCAGTTTGTCAAGATGAAAACCTCTTTCAGACCATACTGTGACCAAACTAATTTGAGCGTTTCAAGAATCTTGCATTGTTGGGATATTCTTACCTCAACTTGCTGTTGCAATGACTGAATATAGTTGATGATTTCATCAAGCATAAACGCTTTTCCGGTGATCTAGTTGAACAATTATCAACAATGAAGACTTTCAGCAAAATTTTGTCGGAAACAAAAGGAATTTAAACTGCTAAAAGCCACCTCTAAGCTAAACCCCACTCTACCTTGTTGCATCCGGGAACAAGCTCTTGAAGCAATCTCATCCTTTCACTGATCTTTTCTCTCCTAACCTTCAAACAACAAACAAAGCAGCAAACTTCTCAGAACCAGTAATTGGTAGAAAACAAAGAGCGGATTCTCATAATCGATATATCGGTAAAAGAGTCCTTACCCTCTCTGCAAGACTGTGACTGTTAGTGGCTTGACCTCTTCTTGCCCTCATATGAATGTACTTTTCTTTTGGTTCTTCTTCATTTTGTGAGCTCTCCTTGTTCATCGTCTCTTTACTCTGATCATTTTTGTGCTTCTTCTGGCTCTGATCACTTCCACTTTGAGGGTCTTCTTGAAATTCCTCCACAGCTTTCTGCCAATTTAACAATGCGTATTAGATTCGTTTAGTCCGGTCTGTTGTTGTTAGTGATTCGGGTCTGGTTCTTTGGCCAATCCACGGTTAATTGTCCAAAATACATCAGGATCAACCGGTTCGTTCAGGTTCCTAGCGCATTTTTTAGTCTTACATAATCAAGTTCAACCACTAACAAGACTAGGCAATTTAGTGGGGTTTTTTGGTCCACCACACATTAAAGCATATGTTTTTTTTAATGTTTATTTACAATTAATTGGATCATGTGATAAACAATGTGATTACTTTTAAATGCTTGTGATGAGTGTGATTTTAATCATTGGCAAACCAAGAGAAGAAAACGATACTAATTTGTTAAAGTTGTAAGATTAGTCTTGTGGCAATGTGTTAGGTACCGAATAAACAATGGTTCCATTTTTGATTTTAGCTCTGTAACTAATGCAATTGTACAAACTGAATCAATTACGGAAATTTTGCAAATTGCACATGTGAACGCTTCTTTTAGATGACGTTAACGAGATTAATTTACTATCCGCTAATGAGTTTTGCTCTATCTAATCAAAAACTAAAATGTAAAATATCTATAGTCCTATGCTTTTAAAGTCATCATTATAAGAGATTAAGAATTGCCGACCACTTTCAGAAAGATAATACAAGTTTATCGTTCGAAATAATGCAGAGAAGCATTGTTGTCTGCTTGTGAAGAATGAAGAAATATACAATTTCCCCTTCTTCTTCTTTTATTATGTTGTTGGTCAAAGTGGGCAACTACAAAAGTTTTTGAGCATACGTAGATTTGACTAACTTTTTAGAAATCACACGAGAGGATATTACAATAATAATTGGTCTATGTCATCACACCAAGAATCCAATTTGCATTTGGTTTCGTTTTGAGAATTTTCTGAATCAAATATGCATTGTTGACGAAAAATAAATATAACTGTGATTGATATAGCAAGTTTATAGACATTGTTTTACCAGTCGAATATGCACTTCTTAAGTAAAGTATTAGTATGGGACCATAAATTTAACAGAGTAGTTGACCTTCTTCATTAACTAATTTGAAAACCTTAAAATTCTACAATTACAAGAAAATAGTTTACATGAGATCATTACAATACCTATGATTTCATAACCAGAAGTAGTACTAGAATCACATTCTCCATCTAAACTCTTACGTCTTAATAGATTTAGATGATCCACATTAGTCTCTCTCTAAGTTTCTTAGTTACCAAAATAGACCCCAAAAGAGTGACTTTGGTCCCTCAATCATCAACTTATTTCTTTGATCTTCACATCACTCTCTTTGCTGATCACAATCCCCATCAATCTGCATGGTTCCGCGTCCTCGATCATTTGAACCACGCTCCTCATCGTCGGTCTTAGTCCAGGAAGTCTCGCCGTGCAGAGGATTGCAATCCTCAGTATCTTGATTGCATCTTCTCTATACATTTCTCCTATCTTCTTGTCCACAATCTCCATCACACTCTCTTTGCTCTTCAGATTGTTGCTCACCCAATTCACTATGTCTTTGCTCTCTCCAAACTCTGCCTCTATCGGTTTTTTCCCTGTGACCAGCTCCATCAACACGACCCCGAAGCTATATACATCGCATTTCTCAGTCACTTTTGACGCATATCCATACTCTGCAACAAGATTTTTAAATGTTAAAATGTAATTCAAAATGTAAGACCATAAAAAGTTGATGATATAAGAATTTAGTCTCTTCATATACCTGGAGCTATGTAGCCATAGGTTCCCGCAACGACATGGGTGGAATCTGGACCGCCATTGCTGGCCTGAAGAATCTTGGCAAGACCAAAATCCGCAATCCTAGGTTTCAAGTACTCATCTAGCAATATGTTGCTTGATTTAACATCACGGTGAATTACCGGTCTCTCATACCCATGATGCAAGTACTCAAGCCCTTTCGCTGCACCAAGAGCTATATCATACCGTGTTTCCCAACCGAGATTCGATTTCTTGCAAGAGTGAAGCATGTCCCATAAGCTTCCATTAGGCAAGTACTCGTACACCAGCAAGCTTGAGTCATCGCTCGTGATGCTACAATAGAGTTTTACCACATTTAAGTGTCGTATTGAGCTAAGCGTTTGCACCTCTGTTTCAAACTCCTTCGATCTTCCTTCCCGTTCAGTGAGAATCGGCATTGCACTGCTGAAATTTTTCTGAGTACTACTACACCGGATGTGTTTGACCGCAACTTCTTTACCATCACCAAGTACTACTCTGTACACATCGCCACAACCTCCTCTACCGATCAAATTCTCTTCTTTGATTGAATCGATGATATCATCTTCAGTGAAACTCATCTTTCGGAATGACTTTATACTCCAAGACTCGTGTTTAAGCGAACGGCCTTCCTTCTTCTCTGTTTTCTTCAGGTACAAGAAAAACACAAGAGACGCAAGCAAGATCAGTGACCCGAAAACTATACACAGCACGAATACGCGAGTGTCTCCATGCGATCTCGAAGGATTTATGCACCGGTTAAACGATTTGATCGTCATGCTACAGAGTCCAGGATTGCCATTGAAGCTACCATTATATGATGACAAACTCAGAGGGATACGACCGGATAATCTGTTGTTAGACAGATCAAGAAGGCTAAGCCTTAGAGACGACAAACTCTCTGGGATTCTCCCGGTGAGCTTATTGTCTGAAAGATTCAAAGCGTTGAGCGTCGGAAGAGATCCAAGCGTGTGCGGGATTTCACCGGATAGCGAGTTTTGAGCCATGTTTACATCGCTGAGCATCGAGCATGATCCAATCGAGTCCGGTATCTCACCAGAGAAGTCATTGCTCTGCATCTTCAGACTGCTAAGTCCCTTCAGTTTCCCAATGGAGCTCGGAATCTTCCCGGTAAACCGGTTATTGTTAAGCTCAACCTTAGTCAAAGATTTAGTGTCACCTATCTCCTCCGGCAGCTCATCAGACAACTTGTTGAACCCTAGATACAATGCTCCGAGCATTTTACCGTTCTTTATATCGGCAGTGATCGGACCTTCGAAGTTATTCATCTCTATATCGATGATCTCGAGCTTCGGTAAGCCCCAAAGTCCCGCGGGAACAGTTCCGTTAAGCGAGTTCTCGCTTACTCTGAACCGTTCCAGAGTCAAACAGCTAGCGTACGAGTCAGGGATGGAGCCAGTGAGATTGTTTTGCAGGAGAAGCAGAGCTTTCATCTTCCCGTTCTTGCACATATCTGGAGGGATAGGTCCGGTTAAGAGATTCTCTGATGCGTCGATGAAATCAAAATCGGCAAGTGAACCGAGTCCTTGAGGCAGAGAACCGGTTAACTTGTTGGTATACAGAGAGAGATTCACGAGATCCTTGAATTCGCCAAACTCCATCGGAATCTCACCGGAGAATTCGTTTTCGAACATTTGTAGTGAAACGAGATTAGTCAGAGACCTGAGCTCCGATAAATCGCCTTGTAGAAGATTTGTTGAAGCATCCAAGTAAGTCAGATTCTTCAGGTTTCCGAATCCGGTAGGAAGTTTTCCGGTCAAGGAGTTGTTGTAAAGCTCTAACTGCCAAAGATTGGTGAGTTTCGAGATCTCCGACGGAATCTCTCCGGTTAAACTGCTATCGGCAATCTCCAAATTCCGAAGCTCCGTCAAATCTCCGATCGCCGCTGGAATTTTGCCGGCTATACTGCAATTCGACAAGTAAAGCCACGAGAGTTTCTTCAGAGAAACAACCTCCACCGGAAAATCAGCTGTCGCATCAAACGGATTATCGCCTAGGCTCAAAACGACGAGACTCGTCGCGTTTCGAAGTGATTTCCACGGAAAGACGCCGGAAAATGCGCTGTTGTTGAGATACAGGTACTGTAACTGATTCAGAGAAGAGAAGTCAGGGAAAGTACCAGAGAACAAATTGTTCCCGAGATCCAAATACTTCAAATTCGTGCAGTTTCTCATATTACTGGGAATTATTCCAGACAGTGAATTGAATCCAAGAGAGAGTTTCTCGAGACTCTGAATTTCGCAAACCAAATCGAATGGAAAATTCCCAGATAAACCTTGACGAGAGAGATCAATCTCTGTAACGTTGCCTCTAGAATTGCAGGTTACTCCGGTGAAGCTACATGGACCGGTACGGGAGTTCAGCATCCAGGAATCGAAGACGGCGAGATTCGAATCGGCGAATGATGATTTGAGTTTGAGCAAGACTTGGAGATCGTCGGAAGAAACGACGGAGAACAGAGAGAAGACGAGGAAGGAGGACAAGTGGGGAAAGAAGTTGAAATTCCTTGACGAGGGAGCCATGTCGGTGAGATTATTTGGCCGGAGTGAGGAAGTGTGACGGTGGTTTGAGTTAATCAGAAACTTGTACTTCACATCGGGAAATTTTGGTTGAGAAGAGAGAGAGAGAGGTTTGATAATGGCGGGCGCGAGAAAAAGCTTAAGCTTTGCCGCTTTGAAGCAAAGTTCTTCTTATCTGCTGGTAACCATTAAATATTCAAATTTTGGCTGTACCTTCGTAATCACTATCACTCACTATTTGTTTTCTCTCTTTTTATATTTCTTTATTTATCATATACGTAAAATAATAATGGCGTCATTATTTTATATGATGCTTTATAGCTAGTTGAATAATATTGCTTTATTAAGAGGGACCCTTGATAACTATACTATTTAGTTTTCTGATTATACAGTGAATATGTGGACTATTATACGAGAGCGTTTTCATAGATTCTATTGTGACTTTTTTGGTTGTCATTGACAATTCTCAAAAAAAGTTGATCAAATTGCATAGAAATATATTTTTAAGAAAATAATTGCACATACAAAACTGAAACTATCCATATCTACTGAGTAGAGTATTGACTAAGCCAAAACCTTATTTTCTTATAGATTATTTAGACTAGACGTAACGCTTATCTTGTGTTATGGAAATGGAGTTCATTATTAATGTAACTGTACTTTTTTCATTGCGGATGCTTAAACAAAACTTAACTACAAACATTAACTATACCATAATACCAAAAGAAAAAGAAAAAAACACAACATTATACAATCGTCTTTTGTGCAGCTACACTATATGGTAGGTTAGGTAGATGTAGATTCTATATGCATCGGCGTTATACAATATTTTGTATACCACTGCTACTACTAATGATTGTGTATTAAGTATCGCTCATAATAATTACATTTCAATTTTTCCTTAATTTTTTTGAGCTGTTAATGACGCATCACTATAAACATGTGTTGAAAACTTGATTTTTATGGCGCACGAGTTCAACTAGCAACAATATACTTTTTTCCAAAGTTAATTAATTAGGAAGTAGTTATATGTCTTAGCTCTTATCTTGAAACAAATTGCTTTTTTAAAAAGGAAACTTTCATTCTAAATTTTTAGTTTTGATTACCAAATTAACCAACCTTATAGTGTGGGTGCACACATTAGGTAATGCAATAAGACAATAATATATCGACTATAGAACTAAAACTAATTATTAAACTTTGCCGCTCCATAATTGCCATGTTCAAATTTGTTTGAGGACTCTTTTTTCTCGGTGGACTCTTCTTTTTCCGACATAAAACAATAAAAGAAAGAAATATAACTAGAGTTTTCTATTATCTTTTTGATCATTTTGTCATATTCTGATTAGGTGGAGACATTAATAATTGATTCCACGCCAGAAGACACTAGTGAGTCCAAACAAAAACATGTATTTCAAACCTTTGAAAAGTAGTAGTAAGAAAAAACTTTCTTTGCTAGTATTTTCCTTGCTGTTGTAGAGTTTTTATGATTAGGTGAGGTAACTAAGATATACTAAACTATGATTACAATAATAGCTTGCTCATAGGCTAGATACTAATAAAAAGAAAGATACAACCAAAAAAACTGCTACAAGCACGATACAATTCGGACAGAAATTAAAAATTTCCAAAGAATTATAACACAACCAAAACCTATAGTTCAATGATATAAAGAAACAAATTAAGCCAGAGCAGTTTCCATGCATTTTGGTTTATATTTTCCTCAGGCTTTATGGGGTTAGTTCTCCAATTTAAATTTCAGGTCAGACTTAAACAAAAAGTAGTAATAAAAAACGTGTAATTACGGGATAAGCGCAATAAAAATGATCTAAATTAAAAAGATTATGACGTAAATTTTAAACGTACGCATGGATCATTTAGTCATTTGTATGAAACGTAGACTAGTAAAGCATAAACAGTAAAAATAAGTAACCACAACTTCTTCTTTTTTTTTTCTCTCACGAGTCGTTGATTGCGATCTGAAACTATATATAACTAATAGATTCATCTTTATTGATAGTTTTAATCGTATATCGATCTACGAATCTCTTTTTGGTCAATGACTTATTTCGAATCTTTGAGTCAATTCACATTTTACTAGTCAAAAAAGCATTCGAAGCTTCATGGAAAAATAGGGCATTGCAAGAGAAAAGAAAAGTTTCGAGGAAATAAGTTGTCCAATAATTGAAGCCTAAGAAAAGACAAATCATTCTTTTATTATTTTTATTTATTTTATGATAGGGTAAGTGCATGCACATGAGACATGACGATAAAATGTACCAATCAACAAAGAGTTAATTACAAAATAGGCATTTGTCTTAGAAATTTATTTCATTTTAGGTACTTGTTTCATGCCTTATGAAAACAGGCACTTTTGCAATGTAAAAAGACGTATATGTCCTCAGTTTAATGACATCATCTTTCAATCTCTTTTCCATTTTCCTCCCATCGTTTTGACGAGTTTCGAAATTGAAATTGGGATTTGCTCTTCCAGAAGAGAGAGAGCACTCCATGAGCCTTTTTCAAAGACAAGAGCGCTATAAGGTCTAAGGCGGAAGATGGTGGTGGTGGAATTGGTGAAATTGCTTGGTGGGTTATATATTTTTTTTTTTCCGTGTTTTTGTGTTTTGTTTATCCTAAAATCAATAGGATTTCTCGTGACTGAAATGATTATTCAGGTTTTGGTAGAAAAAAATTAGATGGATTTTAGGCAGGCTATGGCATTTGAATGGATCTCTACCTGTATGAACGAACTTGTTAATGTTTATGTTGGCCAAAGGTTATCTTCATCTTTTATGTGATATTTTCAGTTATTGTGTTTCTGACTTTTACATTCAAGTTGTTGATTTTCTTTGCTCATGTGGTCTGTTTTAATGATAATTAAAGGATTTGCTGGTTTGTTGATATGAATGTGTATGTTCCTCATGTGGGAGTGCTAGCAATTTGCAAAAAAATTGTCATTCTCTTATTTACGGAAGACTACTGCAAAATGTTCTCATTCTTTTCAACTATGTAACTCATGTTTGTTGCAAGTACCATTGGTTTTATAAGTTGCTTGATTTTAAAGTTCAGGTATCAAATTGATAATGTAGCTTTTGTATTTAATTGACCAAGTATTAAACTTATAATGTAGTCGAGTTTTTGGTCTTAAGATTAAGCATTTCATATCCCACTTTGGCTTGCATGTTGAGTTGCTCTGTTGCATCTTTCTTCGGCTGAGTGAGAACCTCTTATGTTCTTCAATGTGAAGGTGAGTCATTGACATGACCATGTATCTTTAATCGTGGATCACCATTGCTTATATTAACTTTTTTAAGTTGATTGCTTAATTAGTGACATGATTGTCTACAATTGTTTATTCCTAACTTGTGACAAGACTATGTATCTTTAATCGTGGATCACCATTACGACTGCAATTGTCTAGTGACATGATTGTGAAGCTATTTTCTATCTCTTTGTTTCGGAAAGATGTTTCCTCTTTTTTGTTTTTCTATTATACTGCACAACATTGGCTATATTGCAGAAAGTGGTGAGAGTCTCCTGAATTCTACTGAAACATATTTGGGTTTATAACTTTCTCCCATTGTCTACGCATTGCATACTGTCGATTAACTGTTTGGGTTTACAAGTCCAGTTCTAGGGTATAGCGTTTTCACTTCTTTACATATTTTATACTTTTCTCGCATGTTATATAGCGTACTGTCGTTGAAATGGTTTGGGTTTAGTCGTCCAAATCTAGGGTATAGCGTTTTTACTTTCAAGATTTTGAACAAAATTCTACTGTGTATGCAATGAATATTGTCACTTAATGGTTTGGGTTTAAGTTTATTAGTCGTTGATTCCAATCTAGTGTTCTACTATGCATTTTAACTGTGTTTTTTTTGTTGATAAAATGACAATTTGTTCACTTTTTGTTGTAGATAAAACATACTGTATAATTTGTCCACGAGTTTTTTTTTTGTTTAAAACTATTGTCGAAGACACCACCTGAATTGCCACCAGAAAGCGCCGCACCACCGCCGAAGCCATTCGTCACCAACCACCGTCGACGCTGTTCGTCACCCTCCACTCTCCACCCTCGACACTGTTAGCCACCCTCCACTCTCCACCATCGACGCAGTGAACCACCACCGAAGTTGCGTGCTACCGTCGAAATTGCACTCCCACGTCGAAGTTGCACGTCCACCACCAAAGCTATATGTCTCTGGACTGTATATAACTCATTCTCTCATGTGACATCATGTCTAAAAATCCTTAACCTTATTCTCAAATTCTCCCTTATATTCCAGGGGCAAAAGGGTCCGTAATAATGAAATTTGAAGTTATTATATACTTTTACTGTTAAGAGTGCCTGTTTTCGAAAGAACTCTTTTTAAAATGCTTATTTTCGATATAAGCTCATCAACAAATCCAGGGTGGACTTCACTTAGCTTTATTTTTGTGTGATATGAGAATCTTAAAAGATAAAAGCTAATTGCTTTGTTTCATACAAAAAGGCAATTACTTTATTTCTTTCAGCTAAAGCTAAAAAGGTTAATCAAAGAAAGAAAAAAAACTCTCCACTTATGTAAATCCGAAGGCGGCAAGGGATGAATCAATTTGGCCAACAGTGAATGCTTTCAACAACCCAATTCTTCATAGAAAAAAAATACAATCTAAATAAAGTGGAGAATGGAGATTCATCTTTTTTTCTTCCTCAGAAGGATTTTATCACAGCTGTGACTTTCGCCACAAGGGTTCGAGGCACGGCCATTGGTAGGTTTACATAGGAGAATTGCCAGCTTCGTGGGATTAGTCCTTGGACCTAGGAAACCTTGGAGAGACCCGCGGTTATTAAAAAAAAAAAAAAAAAAAAAAAAAAAAAAAAAGAAGAAGGATTTTAGGAATACCAAATTAATATGGGACTCATCATAAATAAATAAAAAATCTTGATAAATACTCATCTTAATCTTGAATTTGTTTATCTGTGTTGACCCAAAAATAATAATACTACTCTTTCAGAATTTTCTATTTTTCAACTAATGGTATTAAAACTTGTTTTTAATGCCATCTATCTTAATTTGTTTATTTCTACATCCCAAAATTGTCAACTGTTATACACAAATCAGTGATACTTAAATCAGTATGTCGAGATTTTAGACACATTTTTAATAGTTGGGAACGTATTAGATTATATTTATAGAGAATGATAAAATTGAATTTAAAAAAAAAAAAAAAAAAAAAAAAAAGGAGATTCATCGTAGTGCATGCAGCTAGAGTAGAGACTCCACCTCGAATTTATTAATAGAAAAGATGATAAGATTTGTCATTCGTCTAGAAGCAACAGGTGTGAAAGCCGCCGTAGTTGACTTTGAATAAGAGAGTCGCTGACAGACAGTACACCACATTTTTGAGTCCCTTGTGCTCCTCCTCCACACGTGTATTCCTTTTTTTTTTAATTCTTTTGTCATTACACCAAAACAAGAATATTTGCAAACTCTACTATTTTCAGGTTAAAAAAATTAAGATATTTGTTATACATATGACATACCTCTCACATAATCTCTATTGGACGGTCAAAGTTCTAACTCTGGAATTATTCACAATTTTACAAGGATAAGTATATATAGCTCAAGCTGTATTAGCATCCACTTATTTCTTTCAATTACTGTACTCTACCTACATAATCTCAATAGCATATCACTAATTTCACTCTCAAACATCCCTCTCAACAAGAAATCTCAGATTTGCTACTATTCCTTCCTATTGGGCTTAATATTCCCAAATAATGTTTAGCTGACACTGCTGCTGCTAGTTTGCTATTTTATTCTGATGCGTATAGTGATTCTCAGTACCAGCTGGAACTAATTTCACCAGTGAGAACATACCTCTACCAAACTTAGACAACTAAGTGACTCCCAATCAAGCAAATAGACTTACTCGTAATGGTTCCTGTCTACTTTTGCTACACAGAGCATGCAATTTTTTTGATCTCAGGTTTCTTTATCAAACTAATTTTAAAGAAAATGAACTTTATAACAGTTGCAGAACCCTGGAATTCAGGGGTCATTACAAACTCTCCATTGCACACAGGTTTTCACATTAAGTTACAACAACAACAACAACAACAACAACAAAAAACAGAGAAGATCCCGAATTGGGACTTCCAAGAAAGGAGAATGCATATACCTCACAAACTGAATGATGTTTTATTTCATTGGTTACATGGCTCCTCGTGGATACAAGGATCATAGTCCCCAAAGTAGAGGAGATTAAGTCCTAGTAGCTGCAAATAAGTTAAGTCACTCGAGAAGCCATTGCATGAATTCGACAAGGATCACATTAAGTGTTCCATCTCCTTGCCATTTTCCAGTACTCCCCTTATGCGTTCCTCGCTTGAAACTCATCTATATTGCATTAACCGCTTTTCATAATCAGTGACAACTTAAGTGCTTACTATGTACTTTTTGTGATTGTGATATTTATACCTTATAACAAAAGAGAGGATGTCATGGGAGAGGGATGGGCTTCTGAATCCTTGTCCGCGGAAGAGCCAAGATGGCTACAATTCCGCCAATGAAACCTGCAGCCGCTCCTACTGCAAGCGCCGGTGAATTCCCACCTCCAAACAGTTGATCCCATGGGCCACTGCCAACAGACACAATTACCTGCAGACACATAATGATTGAACAACACAAATTGAGTTTGATGCCCAAAAACCATAACCAACATAGCGAAAAAATACACCAATCGACTAATATAGGGGAAGTATAGACTCCCTTTTACAGGCAGAAACATTCAAATGAGTTGCAGCAAAATATAATGCTAAAAAGGATGGTTGAACGAAGCAGACCTGTGGGATGACTATCGCCAAATTCAGCACACCCAAAGATAAGCCTGCCACAACAGAACTTTTATAAGAAACAACACTCATCTGTAGAGTACAGTCATCGAGCATAATATTAAAAGGAGACACACCTTGACCTAGGCCCAAGGATTCAATACGTATGGAAATCAACGCATATGGGACGCTGTAAGTTATCTGCAGAAGAGTAACAATAGCATTAGTTACAGCACAAGCGTAAATAAATTTCATCATCTTGTTACAGATGAGCATGAAAACTATCAAAGTAATAGCATTCCCAATATAAAATTAGCTGCAAACTATAATTTCTTGGTTTGTCACTGTGAGTAACATGACAGTAGAATTGCAGTAGTAAACTTACTGCCAATGGAATGCCCAGAATTGTAAAGATTAACACAGCAGCAAATACGATGCTGGCAGGAGGTTGTTCATGGCCAATGTAGCCAAGGTGAGACGCAACAAATGAGGTGATAATCATTCCAAGAAAGCAAATAGCCATTAAGATATTTGATATTCCCCAAATAAAACCAGCCCCCCACTTTCTGCAAAGCTTCTCCATGAGCACCGAAGTGATTCCAAGAAAAACAGAATTCAACATCAAACCAAGTGCGCCCATACTAACTCCGGCACTATAAGAAGTACCTATGTTCGGTTCACCGCCATAGATCTCTCGACCCATCCAGTCAGTATCAAACAGAATAAATGGAAACCAACCAATCCATGTCAATGCTGTAACAAGCAAGATTATCCAAACATTTCCTGGAAAATATCTGAAAGTTCCAAATATTTCAGAAAGAAAAGCTTCGTCTGTTCCACTGGTTTGCCCATGTGATTCAGAAGTCAATGAAGCAAGAGGCACCTCATGAGCCGCTGAGACGCTTAGGATCGTAGTTATTGCAATAAAGACGACATCTATGTAGAAGGCAGACTTGAGATTGGCACATTCCACATTACATGCAACTGTCTTCGTAAAAGTGAAGATCTTGTACCAACCATTGTATGATCCAGTAGCGTAACCAAGAACATTGCCAATAGCCATAAAGAGAGAGAAATATCCATTTGCTACTCGGGTTCTGCGATTATCATTCTCTGAAAATAAAGCAATCGGACAAGAATTAAAACATAACAGAGTTAGGAACCAATTAGCCTAATTGTGTCCAAAATCACAAATTTGTGCATTTTCATGTTTTGCATGTGAGTGTATTAATTACCTTTGAATCCCAAATTCAAATTGAAGACCAAATCAACACTAAAGTCAGAAATTACCAGTAAGATCGGCGAGGAGAGCTCTACAAGGACCTTGAGTCATGTTATTAGCAAGATCAAGAATCCAAAACCCTAAAACAAAAGCCACAATCGCTCTCGGCTTAATCTTCCCTTCTCTATCCCCAAATGCCCAACCAATATCCGCCGCATGACCAATAACCAAAACAGAGATAGCAATCGCCACAGCTCCGACGACAATAAACGGTCTCCGACGACCGTACTTGCTAGTACACCTGTCGCTACTATGCCCAACAAGCGGTTGCACGAACAAACCAGAGAGAGGACCGCAGAGCCAAATCACACTAGCCCAAGCGTGTGGAATCCCTAGCTCTTGAACGTAAGGTGTGAGAAGCGAAAGCTGAAGCGCCCATCCGAATTGAATCCCACAAGCGACGGAAGCAACACGGAGAAGTACACGCTTCGATACTTTTGATCGAGGAGCTACAACGGGACGAGATGAAGAAGTAGAGGGTCGAGGTAGTGGTGGACGGTTGCGAGTGGCTCTGTGGCGGCGATCTTGATCGGGAGTAGTAGCCATTTCTCGCTTTACCGCCGTGGAAAAGCCAAAGTGGAGAGAAAAAGGTGGCGAAGGAGGAGATGTTGTAGGACAGCCATTGGACTAAAGGAATCTACTTTAGGAGATTTGAGTGCTTTTTTAAAATTGTTTTGGGGGAATTTTGTAAATAATGAAAAGTGGGCACGTCAAAAGAGGGTATAGTGTAAGGTTTGTTTCTTCTCTATGGAATAAAATAGAAATGAAATCATTTTGTGGGGAAAAAAAGGCATTCGTCATTTTCTGTTGGATCACGGGCAAAAAGCCAAAAAGTAAGTTTCACATACGTAAGCTGGAAGAGACGTTGAGTATTCAATCAAACTAATAATCAATATGCAGTTTTGTGTTTGGAACAGAAAAATGTGATCATCAACGTCTTCTATTATAAACAAGAAACGATTTTGTTTATATAAACGAAGTCCAATAATGCATAAAGATGGTGGATTCCATCATGATTTTTATTCAGCAAAATTCTTGGTTAGCGGCTTTAAAGTGTCTATCTTTACGGTTTTTGGATGCTCAAGTGAGTAAATCAAGATTAATTACTTACATACCAACATTATTAGATTCTACGTTCAAAAAACACAAAATAAAACATGCAGTTAAATTTGATTAAACCGATCCATATATCATGTTACAATAGAAAGTCAACGTTTTCAGAACAAATTCGTGTTTAGCCAAGTGAAGTACTACTCTCATCCACATGTACATCTACATAGACAATTTTCAAATATTCTCTTATGATGAAATTTGGTCGAGTCCGTTGTTTTAGGTCGACAGGATCAAGCAATCAAAATTGTCGAAATACGAAAATGACGTTATTGTTTGTTAATCAACCGCGGGACAATGTGAGCCGTACACGTACCGCATGATTCATGTTATACGGCTTAAACGAATAACACGAGGGCGCTAATTTCCTACACATACTCTAAAATGGCAACTTTTCATCTTTTACTTTTAGACCTAATCATGAATTAGCTTTACGTAATTATCCTACTTTTTACTCAAGTAAGCGAATTTTTCTTATATAGGTACTAATTAGGACAGGTGAACTGATTTTTATCTTTCTTTTGCTCAATAGTTTAGTTTGCACTTGATTGGGTTAAAATTCAGTTTTCTACCAACATTTTGTTCCCCTTTTTATGTAGTGGCATCAGTTGAACCATGTTTAGGTTTATTATGGTGAAATGAAATGAAACTGTAAGGTTTTGAAGAATTGGACTACTTTGCGTTCGATTACTGGCCCAGTTCAAAATAAGGAAAAACGGATGATTCCACCATCAAATAAGGCAAAATGATTTTATTGCCAAAAATTAGAAATTGAGCGATTCTCATTGCAAAAATGGGTTAGAGAAACAGAAAGGGTACTATGGTAGCATGCAATTGAGGCCCATATCAAGTGAATAAATTCTTGTGGGCTATTTAGTATTTACCAATGAGCCTATATATAACCCAAGCAATGAAAACAAAAACGGAAAAACCTATACATGAAGGCCCGTTTCGTTTCTTTTTAATGAATTTATTTAGTTAGGCCTAGGCTTTCGGTTATCCGTTCGACCGGATATCGGTTGGATCTATTCGGTTTTGGTTTTTCCGATACTATAATTTAGTATCCATTCGGATATTTTGAAATTTCGGTTCGGTTTCAGTTCGGTTCCGGTTCTTTCGGTTTTAAAATTTAATATCAATTCGGTTATTTTGCTTACGATATTTTTGGATATTTCGGTTATTTTTGAGTATTTTTGGATATATTTCGGTTATTTTCGAGTATTTTAACTAGTTTTATATATTTTCAAGTATTTTTGATTATTTGGTTTATAAATAACTAATTATTTTGAAAATATAATTATATTTTGGGTATTACGGTTACCCAAATATTTCGGTTCGGTATCGATTCGGTTACGGTATTTCGATTATTAAATTTACTATCTATTCGGTTATTTTCAAATTTTCGGTTCGGTTCGATTTTTCTCTTCGGTTTTAATTTGATACATTCAGTTCGGTTTATTTGTTCAGGTTCAAATTTATTCATAGAACCGCCTTAGAGAGATTCACAATGAGTAAATTCATTAAAAAGAAAAGAAAATGTTGAGAGAGTAATTAAAAGGCCGCAAAATAAACGCGGTCAGTGACGAAAACGTAGCCGCGTAAGCAACGAGTTGAAAAGTATCCGCGTTCGTGCGTCGCATAGCCAACAAATTCCCACTGAGGGAAAAAAAAAAAAAAAAAAAAAGCCAACAAATTCCCACCACCACCAAACATTTTTCACCCTTTTTTTTTTGTTTTGCAAAACGTGTTTGTTTTCTCAGTTATTTGTCGTCACTTGTTTTCATCTCTATTTTTGTTGTCAACTTTCAATGTAATTTTTTTTTCATTTATAAAGCTTCTACCATTATTCTTCTTACATGTACTTTGTTTCTCATATTTAGATTAAATAGCGATAGTTCAGAGAAAATGGTACTGCCAAGAATTTGCAGTTGTAGACGAAGAGGAATTTTAAGTATTTCAAATAACTCTATTCGTTAAATTCTTTAAAAAAAATTATGTACAATTTTCTCATCATATTAATTTGCACTCTCAAAAAGGTTTGCTATAAGGACTGGTTCAGTGGCAGAGCTAGAAAATTTTGTTATAAGGATCAATTATTTTTAATAAAAATAGTATATTATATAAAATTTATTATTAGTTTTATCTGTAAATAATCTACACTTAAGAAAAAGAAATCTGAAAATTAACCAAATTAATATTTACAATTTTTTGTTATAGTCCACAAAGATTAACAAAAGCATAAAAAATTGTGGGTTTTTTTTATAAATAATTATAATATTAGATCATTAGTTGAACTTTATTTTAAATAAGTCAAAGATTTTTAATTTTATTACATTAGAATTTGGTTTAAAACTCTAATGAACCAAACTTATTTGGCTCTTTTGTTGTTTTAATGATAATTTTTTAATCCCATATAGTTGAATTAATTTGATATAGGGGTCAAAAACTATAACGCATTAAGGTCATTATAATTACTCTTAATAAAATGTAGTAGAAAATTCAAAATTCATAGGGGTCAACTGACCCCCCTAATTACACACTGCCTCCGTCCATGGACTGGTTTAAATTAACATATAGTATATTTAGGATTTTCATTAACGTACATGGTAAAGAAAACTTGAAACTATTTTTGTCCGTTACTAGAGTTGTGAAGAAGAATCTGGTGATTGAACTCGATCCCCAAGGTTGATGTAGAGCAAGATCTTTTCGAAAGAAGTGTGAGATCACACCTATATAAAAAAAAATTAATGTAGAAATTTTTCTTAGTAAAGAAGAAAAGATGGCTCGCGGCATAACTGGGAGTATTTATGAACCGTTGGTTTATCTGGTTTCTATTTTGTAAGCACATGTGACATGTTCCTCTTCTTACATATGTCGTCTTATTTACATGACGTGTGCCTTCTTACTGTAGCAACATGTGTCGGTTTCCTCTTCAGATGCTATTTTAGGTCTTTCCATAATATCGAGATGCCTGACATAATTCCAACTGGAACTAGTAGTAGTGTAGTAGATACAATTTAAATATATATATATATATATATTTCTACCTCAAAAATAAACAATTTTTGAAAGAACACATTTTTTAATTTGAAAATAAATTTTCTCGTTATAATCTATAACTACCAAATATCCCTTTGTTAATTGTTTACTTGTATGAATTAATATCTTATTTTCATCTATTAATAAAAAAAAATTCTTCATGTAAATTTATATTATTGTTTATCACCCCAACTTGATTCCAAAAACAGAATGATAAGGCGCTGCTCTGTCTGACTGATTACACCACTTCACTCCGACAAGACAAAAGTCACAAAACTCCATTTGGGCCGCCGACACATCGTCGATAGACCGACATATCATAAATTAATTCCTAAAAGATTTTTCTTGGTCAAGCCCAATGTAGTAGTAGTATATAATCATCCTTGACAATGTACAAACTCAGTACAAGCACGTCTCAGTGTCCATACTTACTTAGTGACTACTCCAAACATAAGAATATGCCAAACACTAGCAGCTCTCAAAGCTTCACTAGTTTCGTTACTGGTTGGTTAATCCGTCACAGGTATTTCGTCGAACAGCTTACGTGCGCTTCCTCCTTGGATGAAACTAACCGTATCTCTCTCGAAGAACAACAATCGCTTGTGACCCAGTTTCTTTCTCACTGTCTTCAATACTACCAAGAGAAATTCGCCGCCGTTTCCGTCGCCGGTGACAACGTTTTCACGTTCTTCTGCCCACCGTGGTTTAACTCCTACGCTAAACTCATTCTCTGGGTCGGCGATTTCAAGCCTTCTCTTGTGTTTAAACTCACCGAGGTCTCCGTGGACAACCTCACGCGCCACCAGAAAGACCGGATCTCGAGTCTTAAGTCGGAGACTATGAGGAAAGAGAGAGAAGTGATGCGAGATTTCGCCCTCGTGCAACAGAGTGTGGCGGATCCGCCGGTGATGCTTGCGGCGAGGCGCGTCGGAGCTGTGGGAATGGTGGACGGAGAAGAATCGGATTTGGAGGAGGCGATGGAGGTGCTTAAAGCTGGGATGGCGGCGGCGATGAACAACGCAGATCAGCTACGGTGTTCGACGGTGGGGAAAGTGGTGGAGATTCTTACTCCGCCGCAAGCGATTAAAGTGTTGAAGACAATCGGAGAGCTTCACCTCCGTCTGAGAGAAGTGAATTCGGAGAGAGACCACCAAAGAGCTTAAAAAATAAGACATTTGCTTTGCTTTGCGTTGCTTCTTCAACAACAATGGAGTCATGACCAATTTTTGTGTTTCGGGGTCATCCACTTGATCCTGAGATTTAGATTTCCTTTTGATGATTTATGATTTTAAAAAGATTTGAGAAGAATTGGGCTGTTTTGTTTGTAGTGGTTTAAGTGATATGATGTCTTGTTTTGTTTTATTTTTGGCTTCGTTTCTTCCTTAAATCAGTTCTAACTTCTAAATCACAATCGACAAAATAAGTCAAAAGTACAGTCAAAATCCTACGTAGCTTATGACGTGGTCGCCATGTCATTTACAATACTTTACTAACTTGCTGACATGTAATTGTTTTTTCTTTTCTTTTTGAAAATAATAATAAATTATAGTATTAAATTATCAACCCAAAACCGGGCTTAAGCATTGGGCCAACAACAGTGAACAATACTTGTTCGTAGTTCTGCATATCGAATACAAATTGTATATTTTAAGGAGTCCAATATTTCAAAGGATGTTTATTTTTCTTGGCTAACTTGGTCAATGTTATTGTTAGGCATGGCGTTGACTTTGGGGATGCTTCCTAGAGAGTGCCAGCTGAGGGAGGAGTAAAAGTCAGCTATGATGGGCTTTTCCATAAGTAATAAGCTATGAAAATAAACAAACAGCTGCCCAAAAAAAAAAAATGCTCTAAAATTGAAGAATGGATTGAATTGAACTATTTTTAGTCCATGTCTAGTTTACATGAGAGTACACAAAGTATTGTATGTAATAGATTCTAATTTTTCACAAGTCTATCTAAATTATGGGTTGAGTCATTCTTTTCTAATTTAGTGAAATTTTATGATTGTCTGAAAACAATGTACATGATTATATACTTTTGAAAAAAAAACATGGCGCTGGTAGCCTGATACTAATTTTTAAACAATTACAGAAACAAGGAAGAAAAAGAAAAATTATGCAAACAAATGTCAACTGGTTGGTTATATTTCAATGTTCCCTATTTTGACTTATATTATTTCGTTGTTTAAATATTTTTACTATATTATTCTCAAACAAAGATATTGTACAAACGTGTTATGTCGATGCATCAAATTACTCAAACGTTAAGCATATATAATACGCAAAACTTGTTGCCTTTTTTTTTCTTCTTCTTCACGTCATGAATTGTCCTAAATAGAAGCTAAACCTCTCAGATTTTTTTCCCGGATAATGTGTAGTAGTAGTTAGACCTGAGATTTATATCCGTTATTCGTGGATATCCGTATTTGTATCCGGTTTTTGATCCGAAAAACGGATATCCGGCAAAAAAGATTCGGATACGGATAGTAAAATGACGGATATTCCGGATACGGATAATCCAAAAATTTGGACCGGATAACGGATATCCGGCCAAAAAAAAAAAAAAATCTTAAATGCCCAATAAAGTTTGGAAGCCAACTTTTTAATTGTTTTTATTTAATTTTTATTGTTAATAAATAAATTATATGACAAAAAATAAAATAAAAAATTTAAGAAGGATTTAAGAAGTTGATTAATGTTTTTTTTTAAAGAACATCACTTAAATCTTTTAAACTTTTTGCTACTTTAATAAATTCTTTGTTTTTATAATGTTTTGTATATATAATCAAGTTCTAGCCATTTTGTGAATTTTTTAAACTTTTTATGTATGATATTAATGAATTTAGGATTTTAAAATATTGTTTCCGGTTTGTCCAAAAAAAAATACTATTTCCGGATATTCGCGGATATCCGGATTTTTAACGAATATCCGGATACCGGATATCCGGAATTCCGGATCCGGACACGGATACTAAATTGGCGGATAATGTGGATACGGATACGGATACGGATATCTTAAAAAAACTGGATATCCGCTTCGTTTACAGCCCAAATATTAGTATAGGATTACACATATTTTTTCAATTTAATTTTCTCATAACAAATATTAAGATTTTTAAAAACACAGAGTGTGGGATAAAATAAAAACGTGTTCACCACCCGCCGATTTAGATTCCGTTTTCACATAAGAATGTCCCGTCCAAAATATTGGGTCAATGGTGTTGAATTGACCCGTTCTTAAAACCCGACCCGGATCCACCTGCTTCTTTCAACTAACACACGCTCCTGATCCTAACCATTTTCAAGTCAAAAAATCATTATCAATAATTCTCCTTCTTCTTCAACATCGCATAAATTCCCTCTTTGTCTGCTCGATTCCTGATCTCTAGGGTTTGGGTTCTGGAGACGAAGGGGGTGTTTTGTGTATCTGAGATTATTGCTTTGTAAAACTCAAAAATCTATGGCGGTTTCTAGCGCCTTCGTTGTTACACCAAAGCTGGAGAAATTGTTAGCCAATCCAACGTCTTCTTCTCCGGCGCCGTTGGGTGTAATTGGGATTCGTGCTCTTCCGATGAACACCAATAGGAACAAGCGAGGTCTGATTCAGAGAGCGCGTTGCGAGATTTCTCCGTCTAAGGCAGCTAGCACCTCGGCTCTGGAGCAGCTCAAGACTTCTGCTATTGACAGTACGAATTTATCTGCTTGTCTAATGTTTGAAATTAACGATGGGTTTTTGTTAATCCTGCCTCTTAGATTGCCAATTTTGAATTTTGAACATTTTTCGATTCTCTAGCTTACCCAAAGATGTATCTTTTGACTTTAAAGCAATCTTCTCTAGTTAATCTCTATCATTCCTGAACTTTGTTTACTTACGTATGATTACTTTGGATTTAGATTTAGATTTGTGGAGGAGATCGATTGTATACTTCTTAAAGCTAAAAGCTCTGTTTTACTGAACTCAATTCTTTTTGGTAACTAGGATACACTAAGGAAAGAAGCAGCATTATTGTGATTGGGCTTAGCATCCACACAGCTCCTGTTGAGATGCGTGAGAAGCTTGCCATTCCAGAAGCTGAATGGCCACGAGCTATCGCTGAATTGTGTGGTTTGAATCATATTGAAGAGGCTGCTGTCCTCAGTACCTGCAACCGAATGGAGATTTATGTTTTGGCTCTTTCACAGCATCGTGGAGTCAAAGAAGTCACTGAGTGGATGTCTAAGGTGTTTCCCTTTCCCAAGCTTAATCTCAGTCACTAGAATGCTCTTCTCCTTATGTCTGAGTAAACTACTTCACTGTTAAAATGTTTTGGGCATTTCTCCTTCTCTTGCAAATGTTCTTATCACTATGTTACAATCAATGGTAAATGCTGCTGACATATGTTATTTATTTTGTTAGACAAGTGGAATCCCGGTTTCCGAAATCTGTCAGCATCGTTTTCTATTGTACAACAAGGACGTCACACAACATATATTTGAAGTCTCAGCTGGTCTAGACTCCCTTGTCATAGGAGAAAATCAGATACTTGCACAGGTTAAACAAGTTGTGAAAGTAGGTCAAGGAGTCAATGGGTTTGGGAGGAACATTAGTGGGCTATTTAAACACGCAATCACAGTTGGGAAGCGTGTCAGAACAGAGACAAATATCGCTGCTGGGGCTGTTTCTGTTAGCTCGGCTGCAGTCGAACTTGCTCTCATGAAACTTCCCGAATCTTCTCATGCATCATCTGCTAGGATGTTGGTAATTGGTGCTGGAAAGATGGGAAAGCTTGTAATCAAGCACTTGGTTGCTAAAGGTTGCACCAAAATGGTGGTTGTGAATCGAAGTGAAGAGAAAGTTGCAGCTATTCGCGAGGAGATGCCATCTGGTGTTGAGATTATTTATAAACCCCTTGATGAGATGCTATCTTGTGCAGCTGAAGCCGATGTAGTCTTTACTAGCACAGCTTCTGAGACACCATTATTCTTGAAGGAGCAAGTAGCGACTCTCCCTCCTGTTAGAGATACGAGACTCTTTGTTGATATCTCTGTTCCTAGAAATGTCGGGTCTTGCGTCGCTGAAATAGATGGTGCACGGGTTTTCAACGTGGATGACCTCAAGGAAGTCGTTGCTGCAAATCAAGAAGACAGGGTGAGGAAAGCAATGGAAGCTCAGGCTATAATTACAGATGAATCGAAACACTTTGAAGCATGGAGGGATTCGCTGGAGACGGTTCCAACAATCAAGAAATTAAGGGGATATACAGAGAGAATTATAGCTGCAGAGATTGAGAAATTCTTGCCGAAAACGGGCATTGAGATGAACAAGAAGTTGAGAAAAGCAGTAGATGATCTAATCCGAGGTATAGTGAACAAGCTCCTGCACGGTCCAATGCAGCATTTGAGATGCGATGGGAGCGATAGCAGAACACTGAGTGAGACACTGGAGAACATGCAGGCTCTGAACAGGATGTATGGACTTGATGCAGAGATACTCGAGGAGAAGATTAGAGCAAAGGTGGGAAAAAAGTAGAGAAAGAGCCTTTGTTGCATCCATTTTTAGGTTCGTAAAGGTTAAAAATCGGCACCTTTGTAATATACAAACTTGAGTAGAGAGTGAAGATAGCTTCTTGGGGAGAAGATCTTCTGATGGGAAGCATACCATAATTGTTTCATTACGTTCTTTTGTTAAACTTTTTATACATAATATATACAATTTATTTCCTAACATTTGCGTCCGAAACAATGATAACTATTATTGGAGCTGCCATATGAGGCAAATGTGAATCAATGATTGAAATCATTTTTTCTGAAGCATTGCTTGTGATTTGTAATGTTTACACTCTTCTTCAGTAGTTTATTTAGGTTCACCAAGACGATTTTCTTCTTAAGCTTTTTCTCGTTTTTCATGAGGTGTTCTTAAAAGTGAAAAAGTAAAGCTCATGTATAAAAATGTGTTTGTTCAACGAGAGTTGAGATTCGTTACACAGTTGCAAATGCAAACGATTCATTGTTTGTTTTTAAATGTTATGTCTCAAAAGTATATAGCGAGTCTTGCTATGAATCGTGTTATCCACATTTGTTAAATGTTTTCAAGGAGAACACCACCTTGTAGCTCCCGCTGTTATTGAACTAGAACGTATTTGAGCCCCGGAAGTGTGAGCTCAGAGTATGACGCAAGCTCGTACACCGCAGACATGAAAAAGTTCAAGAAATTGGCGTTGAGAATAAAGAATATCAAAGCAGTGAATATGGTGGAACAAGTGAGTATGGTTTAAATCCTTCTGCTTCAAGTAGTGAAGAAATGAATAGAGGTTCAATGAAACGCAATCCTCAGCTTTGAAAGAACACACAACACTTCTCATAAGATTTTCGCTTTTCTTCCCCGTTTTTCTTTCATTGTTTGTTCATTTTGCGTCAAAGATCTGCAGTTTTTGACAGTCACAAATTATGATGTTTTTAGGAGTGAATTATTTTTGACCAAAAGAGTTTAGAGTGTGGTTTTGTTGAAATGTTTAGTACAAAGCCTTAATCCATACCAAGTTATGGTGGAATTTATAATGGATATGCATTATCAAGATTGTTTATTATTATTGGTTTGTATATAATGATTCTAAAAGTAATACACTGGGTTAGGTGAATCTTTTGTTACCGTTAATATGATAAATTTCCTTATTGTTTTTGCGACTCAAATAAGAAAAGGAAATAATAGAAAATTTCCTTTTTTCATTGAACAAACGTTACTTATAAATACACCCATTCTCTCTTCTTCCTTGAGAAATCTCCATTCTCTCTTCTTCTTCGAAACCCTAAACAATAAATAACAAAAATCATCTTTTTCTTTCTGTAGTTCTCTTCTAGAACTATATCAGCTCTGCCAAAATCATACAGAGAGGCTTGCCGATGATGATCCATATAGACATTGTAGTAAACCGATGATCTCTGCAATTAACTTCATCCGTAAGATTGATCGGAGCAGAGAAACCATCTCTTTTCGTGTATCATCTCCATCCTCTGTTGTGAATACATATAATTCAATCCAGATCGATTTCATGTCAAGTCTCCCCTAATTTCACACGATCAAAGATTTCGGCGGTGGATCCTGACGAGGACGGCGAAGGAGAACACGACGACAACGAAGGATGCGAAAGCGAGAAAGAGGATATCAAGAAGACAGGGATAGTGAGCGACGAGCGAGTAGAGAACCAACTCATGATCTGTGTTTGGTTCTGTTTCCATGGTTTACCCATGAAGCAAGGGCTTTAGGCATCAATTAATTATAAGTAGTTTTAGGGGCATCAATTTTTAAAATATTATTGTGGTCTAGTGGTTAGATTGAAATATTTTGTTGTACAGGTCATGGTTTCGAATCCCATACATGTTAAAACTTGTATTTTTTTATATAACAGCTTTTGCTAATGGGCCAAATTTTTTTTTGCTTTAAGCACTCAAATAGTTTGGGCCGGCCCTGGCTCCGACCGTCCGACGACATCACCTGAAAATATTGTGTTTCGTCAATCACAAGCAAAGGTATTTTTTTCTTAATTTCTTTTTTCTATTTTTTTATAGTAAGTGTTAAATTTTTAAATTTAGTGTAAACTAGTTGGACACAACATCCAAACCCCTAAGAGGTGTTCTAAGTTCAATATAGTTTATACATAATTTAAATTTTTAACACTTGTTTTTATTTTATTAAAAAATGTTTTAAAACATATTTTAATATTACTATTTAAACTTTGGTTTTTTAGATAAGTGTTAAATTTTTAAATTTTGTGTAAACTAATTGGACACAACATCCAAACCCCTAAGAGGTGTTCTAGGTTCGATATAGTTTACACATAATTTAAATTCTTAACACTTGTTTTTATTTTATTAGAAAATGTTTTACAACTTATATTTTCAAATTACTATTTAAACTATAAGTTTTTTTTTGGATAAATGTTAAATTTTTTAATTTTGTGTAAACTAATTGGACACAACATCCAAACCCCTAAGAGGTGTTCTAGGTTCAATATAGTATACACATAATTTAATGTTTTAACACTTGTTTTTATTTTATTAAAAAATGTTTTAAAACTTATATTTTAATATTACTATTTAAACTTTGGTTTTTTAGATAAGTGTTAAATTTTTAAATTTTATGTAAACTAAATGGACACAACATCCAAACCCCTAAGAGGTGTTCTAGATTCAATATGGTTTACACATAATTTTAATTTTTAACACTTGTTTTTATTTTATTAAAAATTGTTTTAAAACTTATATTTTAATATTACTATTTAAACTAAGGTTTTTAAGATAAGTGTTAAATTTTTAAATTTTGTGTAAACTATTTGGACACAACATCCAAACCCCTAAGAGATGTTCTAGGTTCAATATAGTTTACACATAATTTAATGTTTTAACACTTGTTTTTATTTTATTAAAAATGTTTTAAAATTTATATTTTAATATTACTATTTAAACTTTGGTTTTTTAGATAAGTGTTACATTTTTAACTTTTATGTAAACTAAATGGACACAACATCCAAACCCCTAAGAGGTGTTCTAGATTCAATATGGTTTACACATAGGGATGTCAAGTTGGTTAAACCAAACCAAACCAACCCATATCCATATTGATTTAGTGTTTAATGGTTAATGAATCAATCCAATTCATTTAACAAATGGTTTGGATTAACCCATAACTCATTTAAATGAATGGATTAATGGATTTAATGAGTTGATCCATAACATAGTTTTCTTATAATTTAAATCCTAATTAATTGATAATTAGTAATTATCATGTTACCACCACCATCATCATCATCATTCCATCATCATCTTCATCACTCCATCGTCATCAATTCACCACCATCATCATCATCATCATCACCATCACCGTCACCGTCGCCGTCGTCATCGTCGTCGTCGCCGTCGTCATCACCGCCGTCGTCGTCGTCACCGTCGTCGCCGTCGTCGTCGTCACCGTCGTCGCCGTCGTCGTCGTCGTCACCGTCGTCGCCGTCGTCGTCGTCGTCACCGTCGTCGCCGTCGTCGTCCCGAAGTAATTGTTTTAAAACTTATATTTTAATATTACTATTTAAACTATTTTATGTAAACTAATTGGACACAACATCCAAACCCCTAAGAGGTGTTCTAGATTCAATATGGTTTACACATAATTTAACTTTTTAACACTTGTCTTTATTTTATTAAAAATTGTTTTAAAACTTATATTTTAATATTACTATTTAAACTAAGGTTTTTAAGATAAGTGTTAAATTTTTAAATTTTGTGTAAACTATTTGGACACAACATCCAAACCCCTAAGAGGTGTTCTAGGTTCAATATGGTTTACACATAATTTAATTTTTTAACACTTGTTTTTATTTTATTAAAAAATGTTTTAAAACTTATATTTTAGTATTACTATTTAAAATTTAAGGTTTTTTGATAAGTGTTAAATTTTTAAATTTTGTGTAAACTAATTGGACACAACATCCAAACCCCTAAGAGGTGTTCTAGGTTCAATATGGTTTACACATAATTTAAATTTTTAACACTTGTTTTTATTTTATTAAAAAAATGTTTTAACTTATATTTTAATATTACTATTTAAACTTTAAGGTTTTTAGATAAGTGTTAAATTTTTAAATTTTATGTAAATTAATTGGACACAACATCCAAACCCCTAAGAGGTGTTTTAGGTTCAATATGGTTTATACATAATTTAAAATTTTTAACACTTTTTTTTATTTTATTAAAAATGTTTTAAAACTTATATTTTTATATTACAATCAAAACTTTAAGGCTTTTTGAATAAGTGTTAAAATTTTAAATTTAGTATAATTGAAATAGACACAACATCCAAACTTCTAAGAGGTGTTTTAGATTTAATATGGTTCAAGGTGGAAAAAAAGTAGAGAGAGAGAGCCTTTGTTGCATCCATTTTTTAGGTTCGTAGAGGTTAAAAATCGGCACCTTTGTAATATACAAACTTGAGTAGAGACTGAAGATAGTTTCTGGTGGAGAAGATCTTCTGGTTCATGCCCTTGATGGGAAGCATACCATAATTTTTTAACTACTTCTTTTCTTCAACTTTTTATACATAATATATACAATTTATTTACTAACATTTGCGTCCGAAACAATGATAACTATTATTGGAGAACCAAGTAAAACGGTTTGAAGATGTTTTAATTTTTTCTTGTATAAACTATATATATATATATATATATATATATATATATATATATATATATATGAACTCTTGGTGAAAAAAAAAAAAAAAAAAAAAAAAAAAAAACTCTTGGTGCGATGTTTTGTTGAGAAAAAAAGCAATCTTGGACCCAATAGGTAGATAAACGCCTTTACGTACGTAAAATTTTGGTCGTCTCCATTTTTCCCTTCATATTTTTTTTGCATTGATTACTCTATATAAGTGATTGCTAATGCGTCTTTCACAACCAAACCATTCTCTGCATTTACAACAAAATTGCAACGTTTTTGTTTAGGCAGAATTTGCAGGGATTTTTGGTAACTACAATTTGGGAAATGTTGTATGAATTTTTAGAGTGAATCGATTTTTGGAAAGTAAACAAACCTAAACTTGATCGACAAACAATAAAAGTTTTCTAGAATATCGGTCTTACTAAATACTAATCATAAAGGTTTCTAGATTAGTCATAGATGTGTGAGAAATTTCTAGCTAAAATATTTCGACATGTATTTGACGACAACTATCTATCAGTTATATCAAAGACGGAAATGTAAAGTTTCAAAGCTAATTAAACGAGTAAAGACTAACGACTTAATATGAGTAATGTTTCCAGTTCAAGGCAATATATTAACAAATTTTCTTGGAGTTTACGCTGTCTTTTGTCTCTTTCGTTTTTTTCTTTTTCTACGTGATTCGATCGGTATTTGACTCTAAGATCCAATGTTGAGAAAATTGAATTAAAAATTAATAAAATAAAATCAATTTCTTGCTAATCCAAACAATATAAGGCACACAATAAAATAAAAATCTGTATAATATATGATTATATATTACTAGGTACACGCATTCAACTTGTTACTAGATACTGAATTTCATGATCATATGGTTTCTTCCAGATCCATAGATACCATTCATCGTGATTACACGGTCTTTAATTTCTATATTCCATGATCATATATGGGTTCTTTCTCGTTTTTGTTGTTGTTGTTGTTGTTGATGTATTAATTCAAATGAGTTTTGGGGAGTTAATTCCTCTGAATAATTAGAATCTAAAACCAAAAATATAACACTTGGAAACGATATATATATTATCTGAAATCGGTCGTTGTTATACATTAGTACGTAAGACCAAGCTAAGAATGAGTCAGATCAAAAAGTTTGACTTGTATTTGCATGAAAGTTTACGTACAATTCGACTTCACCTGTGTGGTCTTGATTATTTCCAGTATATAAAGGAGACAAAGAGAGCCCATATGCATCAGTTTGCCTATCAATATCATCACTTTACGATAACCTTGAGATCAAAGAAAACCCCTTGAGATATCATTTTCCTGCCAATACGTTCTCTTTAATAGGTTTGGTATTGGCAATAATGTTTATAGTATCCTTTTTAATAATGTCTCGTTAATGTGTTGTCTGCTTATATCATATTTATAATGAAATTATTAGTTGTCTCTTAAAGAAAATAATATAATGTGTAGAGAAATGGATGCAAGATTCTTGTACCCCTTGGAGAGCTGTAAAATCATTCACTTGGTAAGTCACAAATAATAAGGCTGAGTTATTATTACACAAGTCACTCTTAATATGACTTCGGTGATATATACGTATTGATTAATGATGTTTCTTCTTTATTTTATTAAAGTTGAGACATGGACAAGCGTTGCACAATGTAGAAGCCGAGAAGGATAGAAATGCGTTGTTGTCTCCTCATCTTTTTGATGCCCCGCTTACCGATCATGGTCACCAACAGGTAAACCCTAAATCCTAAACTTTTAACCTACCACATGGATCAAAATCGCCTTAGAAGATCTCCTTCGTGCATTGCAATAACTTCTAATCGTTTAATGCTTCTCTTAAGGTTGAGAATCTCCGCGAACGAGTTGTTTTAAGCGGGCTACTAAAGAGGGTTGAGCTAGTTGTAACTTCTCCGTTGTTTAGGTAACAAATATTTGCATAAATGCATTGAAGACTAAAGTTGGATAGTATATATTTATGTTTATTTAGTGGCTTTTGGACTGATTAATTTTTTGGTTTACGTATAGAACTATGCAAACCGCAGTTGGAGTTTTTGGAAATGAATACGAACAACTGAGTATGACAAATAGCCCTCCCATTTTGGCACTTGAGGTCGCTCGAGACCGTAATGTACGTTTGATATATACATGGAGAAATGTCTAATATATTCATCGTCTATCAAACAAATTCATGTTAACGAATATCGATATGTATATGTGCACGCAGGGAGTCCGTCCTCCTGACATGAGAAGAAACATTAGCGAGTATCAAACTCTTTTCCCGACCATTGATTTCTCTCAGGCAAAGAGCTTTTTTTACTTTTCATATATATGGACAACTATAATATACATATATAAAATCTCTCTCAACATATGTAAGTATAAACATTGTGGTTTCTCTAATATTTTGGATCATACTATAGATTGAAAGTGAAGAGGACAACCTATGGAGACCGGATGTTAGAGAGTCCGAAGAAGAGATTTTGGCAAGAGGGTTAGAGTTCATGAAATGGTAACCCTTATAAATCTTAACATCATGAAGTATTATAAATAACATTAGCATATATTGTTAGAGAATTGATGAATATTTTTTTTAGGTTATGGAAGAGACCAGAGAAGGAGGTCGCAGTTGTTAGCCATGGAATAGTTTTGCAGCATATGTTGTATGTGTTCGCAAGCGATTGTGACGAGTCAATTAGACATGAACTTTGCAAGAGGTATACAAAAGTTTCTCTTTTGAAAAAAGAAGAAGAAATTAGTTTCTGTTTTGCAATATATGTTCCAATAATAAGCTATTGATCACTAATATGTTATTTTACAGGTTTGCTAATTGCGAAATTCGTACTGTCGTGATTGTAGACAAAGGGTTAGTGTGATCTTCATTTACTTAATTATGATTAGCCATTTCTTGACCATTCAGTACTAGTGGTGTTAAGTTATATTTTTATTTTTCAGCATGATGAGTTCACCTACGGAGAATTGATTCCAAGGAGGAAGTTTCAAAGAATTGACGGAGTCTTCATTAATTAATCAACATTGAAGAAATTACATATTATTGATTTTATTGTTTTATTCTTAAAGCTCAATTAGCTTCTTCTATCTACTTTTCGTCTTCTGCATTTTTCAGGGAAAGTATTATCATTATTTTTTTTGGCCAAAAGGAAATGTATTATCAAATGGAATAATCTTATCATATAATATGATAAAATATATTAAACAAATGGAATAAACTTATCATATATAGTATGATAATTATTTAAGAATATAATATAAAGACCTAGTGTTTGGAAAGATACATATATGTGTAGTACCGTGTTCTGTTTAAGAGACTTCCAAGTAATCCACCTATATATTCCAAAATTCGGTAACCCACTTCGGGCTAGGTAAATTTGATATAAAAAAGGACTTGATATGTCTATCAAAAAACAAGAGACAACAAAAAAAGCTACTTGATTAAAACCTTTTCTTCAAGCTTATATAAATAACTTTTTTTTATTTAAGCGTTGAAAAAATCATACCGGTTTTTCAAGATCTCGTATTTTTCTTGATACATATTTATTCACTTTCCAGCGGATGATTTCAACGATTTTATAAACAAACGGCATAAACCAAAAATTCTACATGAATAATTAATTACTTTCAAATGTGATTTTTTGGTGAATGATTCTCTAAATTTCGCATTTAAAATTTATAAGATATCTAACATTCTTTTCATAAGGAAAAAGCAATTTACGAATATATTTTTCCAAAAACACGTCCAAACGAATATCAAAAAGATTGATGATAATAAATAGTAAATAATATGGACGGTTGGGGAAAGGGGAATTCAAAGGAACAATAGAGGTGGCCAAAAAAGAGGAAAAATAAAAAACAAATAAACCAAAAAACACGGCTGAGAGTTGACGTGACCCATTCAATATTTTATGAACCATTTAAAACTCCAATATACTTTCAACTTTCAAAGTGGTTTCTGAGGAGCTTCCATGAAACTGACTGGTGATAGACTGATAGTGGATATATTCTGTATAATTTCTATATATATATGATGATCAAGAACATGAAAGGACGAAGAAAATGAAAAATGGTTTTGTAAATTAATAATATTGTAGGTAGTTTAAGAAGGTCTCTACGCTTAGATACATGGATTTATGTGGAGCTATGTTGCGCCTCTCATCGCCTAATTTCAAAACCCTTCATTTGGTTAGTCTTGCATTTATTATTTTATTTCAATCTTGATCGCATGGAATATGTATATACACACACATTTTCACGTGGATTCTTCTTCCATGTCTGAGGGCCTTTTGATTTTGCTTCTGATTAGTCACATATAAGAACAGAAAAGATGTTAAAAATGAAAGATATATAGGTGCTGATTGTTTCACACACATTTTTGTGCTTGCGTTTACATTTATGTGAAAGTTATATATGTACATATTCTAAATTATGTTGGACCGGAAAATGAGTAAAGGTGAGGCATGCACAAGGAATCCACAATATAGCATTAGAAGAGGAGGGAGAGAAACCTGAATCAGAAAAGCTGTTTGATGCCCACCTCTCTCCAAAAGGTTTGCAACAGGTGAGAGAACTACATCTATATAGTATCACCAAAATCTAAATGTTTAGGGTTTGATATAGTAGTACCTTGAGATGCACTCTTGTATATGAATGAAACGTTTTTGATTCTTTCACAGGTTTCTGAAAGGCGCAACCAAATCCTTGAATCAGGATTACTAAACACTATCGAGTTAGTTATTACCTCTCCGCTGCGCAGGTACTATACTACCTACCAGTTTATTCGTTTGTCAATTGTTTTCTGGTAGAACTTTACGAAACTTGGATTTTAGGCTAAAGAATTAATAAACCGTTAACATCAATATCATTGAAAATAAATGATCGACCTAAGGCTAGGCATATCTAACATTCATATTTTCAACGATGATGGATTTTTTCATATATCCTATAATTTAAATCCTGAAGTTTTTTTTAATTCTTTGTAATATTGTTCCCAAGTCTCCATAAAACAAGTCATTCCTTGTTCATAAATTTGATTATTATGTAATGTGAAGACTTTAGAATTGTTATATATTTGGTAGTGCGAATAATAACACTGTTCCCTTTAATTTCAGAGCAATGGAAACTTCAATAGGAATATTTAGGGGCCAAGAAGATGTAAATATATCCGACGACTTTCCAAAAGCTAACAACTTCCCTCCAATTGTAGCACTTGAGATCTGTAGAGAACGAATGGTAATATTAAGTATTCAGTGCTTTAAAATAAGTGATATAAATTTTAAATTAAGATACAGTTGAAAGTTTTTTTTTATCTCATTCTCTGAAAGTGATATGCTTACTTTATGTTCCAATGATGAATCAAAATTCACTCTAATTGTTCGATATTCTCAGGGACTCTATCCGTGTGATCGTAGAGCAAGTTTAAGTACTCGCCGCACTTGGTTTCCTGAGATCGACTTTACAATGGTGGTTAATTTCACCATTCCTTTAGAAGCTCAATTGATCTTCTTCTATCTATCAAATTTTGATAATTTGTTGTTTTTTTTTTTTTTTTTTTTTTCCATGTGGTTATAGATAGAGAGTGATGAAGATGCTCTATGGCAAGACAAGGAAAGGGAAAAACTAGAGGATGTTGCTACTAGAGGTCTTCACTTTGTTAAATGGTGACCACGAACTTTCAATTTTTAGACTCACATTTTTCATTTTTAAATGGTGGTCCATATCTTTAAAAATATCTCAACGTCCGATATGGGACATTCTGACATCCATCATTTCGAAACTACAACTATAAGACAAATTAGCTGGCCAAAAAAAGAAAGAAAAAAAACTACAAAACGAACTACTATATAGTGAAAATATCATTTCATGAATTACGAACTTCTAACTCAAAATTAGTTGATAATGAAGTGACACATATATCTCTTATTTGCTAAGTTAGAAATATATTCATCATTCTAAATAACATTATGTTAATCCATTTTACCTAATTGTTCGAATAAGTTTTTAGGCTTGGAATCAAGATCTCGGTGTATGATTCAAAATTATAGACAATTCTCTGGAGTTATTTCTTATGTTTTCATAAATATAAATCCACATAATTTTCTCATATATCTGATCTATGTCTTTGCCAACATTAATACACTAATAATCTAATTCATAATTAAAGAAAAAAAAAAACATGTGTAGGTTATGGGAGAGACCAGAAAATGAAATAGCAATTGTGAGCCATGGGATTTTCTTGCAACAAACACTTCGTGCGCTGCATGAAAAAGTTGGCATACCTCTTGAAGATAGTCTCCTTACTAGGTAATACTAGCTACTCCCCAATCTAATCACTCTTTTGCTCTTTAATCGTAGATTCGAAGATATTATACATAGATACATAAAAACCATATGCATAACAAATGGATTTTATCCTCTTTTTTTTGGTTCGTTTAGGTTTGCCAATTGTGAACTCCGGTCAATTCGGATAGAAAAGAGGTAACTAATGTTAGCTTTATGAGATTGAAGGAATTTGACAAGTAGTGTTGTTTCTAATAATGTTCACAAGTACGTTTAAGTGCAGTGACATGGAAGCGGATACAATAACGACTTGTAATTGTAGAAATTACGTTACTCCACCTTCAACTTCCATTCACACGCTTGAATAGAAGGCATGTATGTATACGAACTGTGTTTTCTTTTCCAAGCTACACACATGGAGATTCGAACCAATGAGTATGTCCCCGGACAACCACAATGGTTACTCAACTAAGAAGCAAGTCCTTCAAAGACACAGCTTTGAAGCTAATATATATCCCATTACCAAGCTACTAGCAAACCACTATTACATTGTTAGGTTTCACGAACTTCCAATTCAAAATCAATTGTTAATGAATGAATTGGTTTATGTATTATTGTAAAGTTTTAAATGGAGTCGACCAACAGCATTATAAAATATTATATAAATTAAATACTGCAAAAACTGTAAGATTTCTAAATCCCCTATTATAAACTCATACATTGTAATTACTAGTTGCAAAATCTATAACGAAAAAGATACGTTTACTTATGATAGAAATCGTAGATTTTCCTTAAAAACTAAAAAAGAACATTATTAAATCACGTAGATTTTACCGAAAAATAATGCATAATTGAATAAAGTCATAAATATTAATATTATTTAAAGATAAACCAGCCAACATCGGGTTAAAATTCTGTTACTGTAATATTAATTGTTAAAAAAAAAAAAAAACATCGAAGTACCAATTAGAATATTTCCCGCTTAAAGAGGCGGGGAATAAATAACGTGTTGCTTTGCAACAAATTTCGATATCTCCGGGGACACTCTTCTGTTACATATTATCTCATTTTAGATACTCTTCCTTTTTTTACTTTTATTTCTATCTATCTAATAAATCATAATCTCAAATCTCAAATATATATATAATTACTAAAGATTCTCATTTTAAAGATTCATGAATCTCTTATATATAAAAGATTCCTCCAATATTCTCTGACGTCTCTTTCACCAATTCCATAACCCTAGATTTGACCACACACGCCGCAACAATGGCTGCGATTGAATTACACAAGCCGGAGATCAACGCCGATGACGACGAAGACGAATCACCGGTGGAGGAGGTTCGTCTCACTGTATCGAACCACGACGATCCTTCTTTACCCGTGTGGACATTTCGGATGTGGTTTTTAGGGCTTCTCTCTTGTATTCTCCTCTCGTTTCTCAACACTTTCTTCGGATACAGAACTCAGCCACTGATGATCACTATGATCTCTGTTCAAGTGGTTACGTTGCCTTTAGGGAAGCTTATGGCTCGTGTTTTGCCTGAGACTAAGTATAAGATTGGTTCGTGGGAGTTTTCGTTTAATCCTGGTCCCTTCAACGTCAAGGAACATGTGTTGATCTCTATGTTTGCTAATGCTGGTGCTGGATTTGGATCTGGTACTGCTTATGCTGTTGGGATTGTTGATATCATCATGGCTTTTTATAAGAGGAAGATTAGTTTCTTGGCTAGTTGGATTCTTGTCATCACTACTCAGGTCTCTTTTCATTTCCAGTGTTTTCTGATTTTTTCCTTTTTATAATGTTCTAGGTGAAGAATAGTTGATGATTCTATCTGTTGTTGAATCAGATTCTTGGGTATGGTTGGGCTGGTATCATGAGAAAGTTAGTGGTTGATCCTGCACAGATGTGGTGGCCAACGAGTGTTCTTCAAGTCTCTCTGTTTCGGTATGATGATTGATGCATTTTAGACCATACCTACCACTTGTTTTACTAACGTTTCCTTAGTGATTCTGAAACTGTTTTTGATCTTTATCTAGTGCTCTTCATGAGAAGGACCATGCGAGAATGTCGAGAGGGAAGTTCTTTGTGATTGCGTTTGTTTGTAGCTTCGCGTGGTACATATTCCCGGCTTACTTGTTCTTGACCTTGTCATCAATATCTTGGGTTTGTTGGGCATTCCCTAAGTCTATCACAGCTCAGCAGTTAGGCTCTGGAATGTCAGGACTTGGGATTGGTGCATTTGCTCTTGATTGGTCTGTTATAGCTTCATACCTTGGAAGCCCTCTTGTGACTCCTTTCTTTGCAATTGTCAATGTCCTTGTTGGTTACGTTTTAGTCATGTATATGGTTATACCAATATCATATTGGGGCATGAATGTGTATGAAGCACACAAGTTTCCAATTTTCTCGTCTGATCTGTTTGATAAGCAAGGGCAGCTTTACAATATATCCACCATTGTCAACAATAAGTTCGAATTGGACATGGAGAGTTATCAACAAGAAGGTCGGGTTTATCTCAGCACGTTCTTCGCTATCAGTTACGGGATTGGTTTCGCAGCAATAGTTTCCACACTGACTCATGTTGCTCTCTTCAATGGAAAGTAAGTCAGGCAGTCCATAATGTCTTATGGACTAGCTTGTGCACCAATGTCTGAATATCACTAATCTTCTTTTTGACTTAGGGGAATATGGCAACAAGTACGAGCTTCAACCAAAGCTAAAGTGGACATACACACAAGGTTGATGAAGAAGTACAAAGACATACCAAGCTGGTGGTTTTACGGTCTGCTTGCGATCTCATTGGTACTATCTCTTGTTCTCTGCATTTTCATGAAAGACGAGATCCAAATGCCTTGGTGGGGACTCCTTCTAGCATCATTCATGGCCGTTACCTTCACTGTACCAGTCAGCATTATCACAGCTACTACTAATCAGGTACCATATATAACTTCCACTATTGATTCCTCTAAATAACATGATTTGGATCTTTTTCTATTTTCTTACTTTAAAACTTGTTGTGATGCAGACCCCAGGTCTTAACATTATCACAGAATATCTCATGGGTGTGTTGTTACCGGGGAGACCAATAGCTAACGTCTGTTTTAAAACTTATGGGTACATAAGTATGTCACAAGCTATATCATTCCTTAACGACTTCAAGCTAGGCCATTACATGAAGATACCACCAAGATCGATGTTCTTAGTCCAGTTCATAGGAACGGTGATAGCAGGAACAGTGAATATATCAGTGGCATGGTACTTGCTGACATCAGTAGAAAACATCTGCCAGAAAGAGTTGCTTCCTCCAAACAGTCCATGGACATGTCCAAGTGACAGAGTCTTCTTCGACGCATCAGTGATTTGGGGATTAGTAGGACCCAAGAGAATCTTTGGTCGGCTAGGAAACTACCCTGCATTAAACTGGTTCTTCTTAGGTGGACTAATAGGACCTCTCTTAGTGTGGCTTCTCCAAAAAGCCTTCCCAACGAAAACATGGATCTCGCAGATCAATCTGCCAGTTCTTTTAGGAGCAACAGCTGCAATGCCGCCAGCGACAAGCGTGAACTTCAACTGCTGGATCATAGTTGGAGTGATATTCAATTACTTTGTGTTCAAGCACTGCAAAAAGTGGTGGCAGAGGTATAACTACGTGCTATCGGCAGCATTGGACGCGGGATTGGCGTTCATGGGAGTGCTGTTATACTTTAGTTTGACGATGAATGGAAAATCGATAGAGCATTGGTGGGGTGCTAAGGGTGAGAATTGTCCTCTTGCTTCTTGTCCTACTGCTCCTGGCATTCATGTTGAAGGTTGTCCTGTTTTTTAATGTCTTTAAGATTTTTTTCCTTTTTGGTTCTTTTTTTTTTTTTTTCCATTTGTTTTTAGACTTCAATCAGATTATTTTTCTTTTGGATTTTAAGAGATCGTACAGATTAACAAATACAGACTCAAATGATTTTTTAGCGTTGTTGATCCATTTATGTGTTATACTAAAATTTGGTAGAGTATCTAGGATTTTTAAAATCTCATAATGACAATCCCAAAATTTATACAGTATTAAAGAAAAAAATAAATAAGACTGTCAAACCTTCAATAATTTGAGATTAAATTTAGAATCAACCATATAATTATTTTGTTTGCCTAAAAAAGTTTATATACCTAATTTGTGGAAACTATAAGATTATATAATTAAGGATGCAAATACTCTAAAAAAACTGTAATATGACGCGTGGACTACAAGGAGAGTAGAGGAGCGTGGGTATAGTGTGTCTGTGGTTATCAATTTGGATTGACGCCAAAAAGTCATTCATTAGTTTGGTTCAACCATATTCATCTATATTTTCCTTTTATTTTATTCATTATTAATAATTTGAGTCTCTCTCTCTCTCTCTCTCTCAAAATCCGAGAAAACGAGGTTAAGAGATCCGTGATTGAATTCTGAAATTTGGTTTCTTCAGGTCTCTGATCGTCCTGCTTCTTATCTGATCTGTTATTTGCTTACATCTCTCAACTATATAAGTTGTTTGTTATTTTGACGATGGAGACTACGACTGGAGAAATCACCATCGTCTGCAACCACTGGTTCGTTGATTGATTTCTCTTTCTGGGTTTTTCAATTTGATCACGTCGATTGCTTGCTTTCTCTTTGTTGCGTACTCGTTCGATGATGACTTGCGTAATTCGATATTCTGGACTCGAGGAGGTTATAAAATTTTGGAATTGATCAATGATTTTGCAATTGAGAATATATACCCATTAAAGATACTCGTAAGCTGTGTGATTCAGTTTGGTTCCACAATTAGCATCAGCTAGGTTTCTGTCGGTGATTACAAATATAATAACTAGGGCTTTGATGGGCAATTCTATGATATACAATCCCTTTTTGCTAAAGGTTGATTCTTTACTGTTACTTTGCCTTAAATCCTTCATGATTAATCTATTGATTATGCATCAGCTTCCTGGTTTGTGTACAAGTGTTGATTGTGTTCTGTCTATCGTCATGCTTTTTTACAATTTGTTTGGCTCTCTGAGGTTTGCTTAATTTCTAGAGGGCTTATTTGTGCTTTCTCTAGTTATTGTTTTGTTGAGTCTGCTGAGATTGGGAATTTTCGAATGCTGTAATCCTTTGTCTATGTTCAATGGTAGCATCTACCTGGATGGTTGATCCCTTGAGACTGATTATCTTTATGTTTTCAGTGACAGAGACATTCCATCACTGAATATCGATCTGCATCGTGTACATTGTGCCCGGAATTTGGAAAAATGTAAGATTTGTGGTGATATGGTACCCAAAAAGCATGCTGAAGAACATTTCTTGAACACACATGCTCCGGTACGCTGATTTCTCTGTTTCTCACTAGTCTTTAAATCGTTTTCTGTTTGATTGATTTCCACAACTATCTTCTATGATTTTAAGAGCTTCTCTTTTTTTAGATCCATGAAAATTATACACTTTGTCTAGTTTGACGTCCTGATATGTTGATCAAATGGATTTCTGTAGTTTTATATGCTGATTCTGCTCTCACATACTTTGTATATGTCCTTTCAACGGTTTTTGAGCTTGTTACAGTTAACAAATTAGATGCATTGATTTTGACTCATTACCTTTTAGTCTGTAACAAAAACAGCCTAGTCGTTATCAATGCCTGTTTCTGAGGTAGTGTCATTGCATACTGTTATTGTGTTTTATGGATGATTAGTTATTGAATATCACAAGTAGGAATTTCTTTTGTTTCTGTTATAGTCTCAATATTTTTGTATGGTTTTAGATGCTGCTATATGACTGAAATGACCTACTTTTTCTTACGATATTCCTTTTGTACTGTCTTGAGAAGATAGCATGCTCGATGTGCAAAGAGACCATAGAACGTGAGATTTTTGATAGTCATAAAGGAGAAATTTGCCCTAAGAGGATTGTAACATGTGAGTTCTGTGAGTTTCCATTGCCTGCGGTTGATCTTGCTGAGCATCAGGTATTCGCTCTGACTTGCACACATATTTTGCCTTTTCTCCCCAACCAAAGGATTTTCTGATCCGCTCACTTTTCGAATACTAGGAAGTGTGTGGCAACCGGACAGAACTCTGTTATCAATGCAACAGCTATGTTAGATTGAGAGAAAGATATAACCATGAAACCAAATGCCCTGGCACTGTGCTCAACAATGTTGAATCATCCAGGTACATTTTCTTATCTGCATTGTTTTATTTTGGAAACTTGAGAGCTTAATCTTTTTTTGATTTGGCTAAACTCGTGTCATGGCATGGACTGTACAGAAGGATCCCGAGAGCAGCAGAAGGAGATGGAAACGGGAGAAGACGAAGAGATGGAAACGGTGTTTCGCACAAAAGGCTTTTCTTCACGATAGCAATAACGGGAATAGCTGTCTTCATAGGATCGCTGTTCTTCCAGAGGAAGCCTGAGTAGAGGCATAGCTTATGTGTAATTCTGTAAATTTGTCTCAAATCCTTCAGACAGATTCTAAGGAAGGGTTTATACATTTTAATGCTTACCAAGACAAGAGAAACCCCAAAAGTTTGTTTGAGCTGATCACCATGAGACTTGCTTTTGTATTTCATTTTAATAAAAGAGATTTCAGATTTCTTTGGAATCAAACCGAACTAAAATCTAATTACATTCGATTTGGTTGATGAAATTCAATTAGAAGTAAAATTGAACGCAAAGGCAATGCCTTGACAGTTGACAAACGCAGTCGCGCCTAAACCAAAGGAACAGAACCGCTTTATCAAACGCCAGCACAGTCTCTCTCTCTTTCTCCTTCTCTCTCCAGGCTTCGGTGGTGATCGCTTGGGTCAAGTACTGATGAAGAAACTGGCTGGTCGGCTCCTTCATCGTTTCACTAATCATGAAACCGCTTTCAACGCCGGCCACCACTGTAATTTCTTGTCTACCCTTCTCTTCTCATGGTTTCTTCATCCTCTTGCACGATTGCGATGAATTTCGCTCACATGAGAATGGTTTTAAACCTGCTCAACGAAATTGTGACAGCAAAGTTTGTATTTTTATCCCGGATTAGAAAAAAAAAAACTCAAATTTGTTGTTTTGACCCTTTACTTCGTTTCTTGTGACACTGTAACCTGTTTATCTTTCCTAGTTTCATCAAATTGGGTTTGATTCTTTGTTGAAAGATGATTTTACTTCAGAGGGTATACGTATAAATCCAGAAAGGAAGGGACTTTATACATCACAGAGTTACAAATTTATTGATAAAGATAGTTTGTATGCCATTTTGCTTGATTATCGGAAATAAACGCCTTTTCAGGAAGACCAGTTCTACAGATCCTATATCAATGGCCGTTTCAAAAGTCTTGTTTTACACAAGCACTTATGTTTCTTTGAGTATCTCGTGCTGCTGCCTTCTTTGACAAAAAATATTAGTCTCCGTAGTTTTTCTATATGCAAAAGTGTTGATTTTTTTCTTACACTAATATCAGGCTCACAAGGGACAGATCAAGGTACAAGTGGTCTTAGTCATAGAAAGGATCTCAATATGCCCTCTCAAGGTGTCCACCTGCATATCCATGACCGATATGTAATGCAACTCCCTCAGTCTATCTATAATGTGTCCTTTTATGTTATGTGTTTTGACTGAAGACAGAAATGGTTCAGGTTCTGATGGACAATGGAATCCTCCAAGTAACACTGTCAAAGCCAGGGGGTATTATCACTGGGATAAAGTATAACGGCATCGACAATGTGCTCGAAGTTCGTAACAAGGAGACTAACCGAGGGTATATTTTACTGTTTTCTTCGGAGGAGAACAAAACTTCTTTCTCTTTGTCAAATTTTATGAGAAGCCAAGTTAATCGATAATAAGTTAATAACTGATTGTATAGGTACTGGGACCTGCACTGGAATGAACCTGGAGGCAAGGGAATATTTGATGTGTATGTCCTCTATGCATTTACCTTAACATTCGTTAGGATTAGGAGCTCAGGAATGTTATTCTATAGGTCTTAATCGTGCTATTGATTGCAACATCTGTTAGTGGGATTTTTCAATATTGGTGCCAGAGAGTTGATATATGACCCAACACTAGTTTTCTCTGTCTAACTGAAGTTGTCGGTTGTCACTGCTGCATCAAAATTACTCAAAAATAGTTTTCTCTTTTTTATCCTGTGTATATGATGTGTACCAAATTACTAACTGTTAGATGTTATATAATCTGTACTAATTGTTGGGTGGTATATTATGTGTACTAATCGTTGGATTGTTTGATTGTATATATGCAGCATCAGTGGAGGGACTTTCAGGGTCATAGTCGAGACTGAAGAACAGGTTGAGATCTCATTTCTAAGAACATGGGATCCATCCCTTGAGGGGAAGTTCATTCCCTTGAATATCGATAAAAGGTCTATCTTGCATGATGTATTTCCTTTGAAAAGAAACAAAAGTAGAGAAGAGAGATTGACTAGATGCTCTTTCTTTCAGGTTTGTAATGCTCCGTGGCTCCTCTGGAGTGTACTCATACGGCATTTATGAACACCTAAAGGATTGGCCTGGCTTTGAACTTGGAGAAACAAGAATTGCGTTCAAGCTCAGAAAAGACAAGTAATACTGTCCCCATTTTCCTACGCCAAATTTTCTTTTTTATGCTAATTGCCTTAAGTAAGATCCATGTTTCTGCACTGAGAAGAAAATCTCAAATATTAGTGATTGCCTGTGATTGCCTGTCCATGTGAATGGTTTAGGGTATAGGGTTTAGATTCCAAGCAAAAGAATAGTGTCATTTGTCAGTTATCTATTTATTGGGTTTGATTGTTCGTCAACACAAGTGTGTAGTTGTTTGATATCTCATATATTTCCCCCTTGCGATTCTTTTTTTCAGATTCCATTACATGGCTGTGGCAGATGACAGAAAAAGGATAATGCCTTTTCCGGATGATCTATGCAAAGGAAGATGCCAAACTCTAGATTACCAGGAAGCTTCTCTACTCACTGCTCCATGTGATCCACGCCTGCAAGGCGAAGTATGAGTTCCAAATTTTTCAAATTTAGAACTTACAGAATTTTGTTCTTTCTCATCCGTTGTTTGAGCTGTTTATTCTCCCATTTACTGATACATGAATTTGTATACTATGAACTTATGCTTTTCTTGTGATGTATTACAACTTCGAATTATGAATCCTATAAATAGTGTTTAACAGATAACTAAATCATTTTTATTTCTCTGACAGGTAGATGACAAATACCAATACTCGTGTGAGAATAAGGATCTGAGAGTACATGGATGGATATCCTTCGATCCACCTGTAGGATTCTGGCAAATTACGCCCAGTAATGAGTTCCGCTCTGGTGGACCACTCAAACAAAACCTCACTTCACATGTTGGCCCAACCACTCTTGCAGTAAGTGCCCTATGACAAATGTGGTGAATGTTTCAATATAATACCTAGAAGTATTGGTTTCAGTAATGGTTATTTCAGGTGTTTCACAGTACTCATTATGCCGGAAAAACCATGATGCCTCGCTTTGAACACGGCGAGCCTTGGAAGAAAGTCTATGGCCCTGTTTTCATTTACCTAAATTCAACAGCCAATGGAGATGATCCACTTTGCTTATGGGACGATGCTAAGATAAAGGTATGAGGGAAGAAAATTGCTACTGGACTTGCTGAATACAGAAATAGATTTGTGGTAATGTAAGGGCTCAGTTATATGAGTTAATCTGCAGATGATGGCTGAAGTTGAAAGTTGGCCTTATAGCTTTGTGGCATCTGACGACTATCCAAAGTCTGAAGAACGTGGCACAGCCCGTGGTAGATTACTTATCCGCGACAGGTATTAGTGTTTTTTATTTTTAGTGTATCAACATTCCACCAAATCGCTACATATTAACGTTAAATTTTGTATAGGTTCATAAACAGTGATTTGATTTCAGCAGGAGGTGCTTATGTGGGTTTGGCTCCACCTGGTGATTCTGGTTCTTGGCAAATTGAATGCAAGGTGATTTCTTCCTTCTCCATTCTTAATTATTTGCAACAAGCAAAAATATAAGATCGGTTCAAAGATATCAAGAAAGAGATCTATGATGGAATTACCAACAAAATAAAACAAAGGAAATGTTTGTCTGTAAAGAGTACAACATTTTGAACTTTGGTTACACTTACACTCTTAATCTTTGCCAATCAGGGATACCAATTTTGGGCGATAGCGGATGAGGCTGGCTATTTCTCAATAGGGAACGCACGACCTGGCGAGTATAATCTCTATGCTTGGGTCCCCGGTTTCATTGGAGATTATCACAACGGCACAATTGTTACAGTGACTTCAGGTAAATCAGTTCTATCTAATTTTTTCGTGTACAGCAGCCAAATTTTGATGGACATAACAACACAGGGTGCATGATTGAGATGGGTGATATCGTTTATGAACCTCCAAGAGATGGACCTACACTATGGGAAATCGGTATCCCTGACCGAAAAGCTTCTGAGTTCTTTATCCCAGATCCTGATCTCACTCTTGTAAACAGGGTGTTAGTCCATGACCAAGACAGGTTTATTAGCTATACTTTTGTGAACCTTACTGCTTGGATATGCGAGAAACTGAACTAAACACTCCTTAATTATTATCTGCAGGTTCAGGCAATATGGGTTATGGAAGAGATACACGGATTTGTATCCAAATGCTGACCTTATTTACACTGTCGGTGTAAGCGATTACCGCAGAGACTGGTTCTTTGCTCATGTTCCCAGGAAGAAAGGAGATGTGCATGAAGGAACTACTTGGCAGATTAGGTTTAATCTTGAAAACATTGATCAAAAGGCAAATTACAAACTGCAAGTCGCCATAGCATCTGCAACCTTAGCCGAATTGCAGGTAAAATGAAACTTTATTTTTCTACAGAAATGAGGAAGTTAAGACTGTAAAGTTTTGTTGGTACTGTCTGTTTGCAGATTCGAGTCAATGATGCGGAAGCAATCCGCCCTCTCTTCACAACCGGACTTATTGGGAGAGACAACTCAATAGCGAGGCACGGGATCCACGGGGTTTACATGCTGTATGCGGTGAACGTACCTGGTAACCGGCTTGTACAAGGTGATAACACTATATTCCTGAAACAGCCAAGATGCAATGGTCCCTTTCAAGGGATAATGTATGACTACATTCGTCTTGAAGGCCCTCCTTCTTAGCTTACAATGATATGTGATATCATTGTTTATGTGTAATTATACATTAACACCAAAAGATAATGGTAAAAACTGAATCGTATTGATATGCAAACTCCCCAAACCAAAATTCTGACAAAATCAAAACTGAACCTAAGAAATAATAAGTAGAAAGGAGCCACTGAACAAATCAACACAAGGGACCTGACTCGTGAGTAAACTACTTAATGCTACATCTTCCCCGCAACTTGCTCAGCAGAGCTTCTCTTCATGAGTCCCTTGTTACAAAGCTCATTAAGAAGCTCTAGAGCTTCCTTTGCCATACCTTCATAAGCTAAGCCTTCTATCAGAATCGTGTATGATGTTTCAGTCGGTTTACACCCTCTGTTGATCATATAAACCAAGAAATCGATGGCACGATCTGTTTGCCGAGTCTTACAGAGTCCGAGCATTATAGAATTAAAGGTGACTGCATTTGGCCT